CCATGGAGTGTCTTCGGAGACGTTGTGTGTTGTTCCTTCGTGTTTACCTGTGTTTCTTTTCCACCCCTGACTCGGGTTTGGAAATGTCAACTTTTCACCAGCTTGTCAGCGGGCTCGCCCTTCGTTCAGATAACCTGGACTCTTTCATTTCACTGTTGTTTTCTCCTTCGCCAAGTCTTGAGTCTTGATCCTGAATCAAGACTTAATGTTCCCCCGTGGACGTAGGTCACGCGACGCGAAGCCACACTCCGCGTCGCATGACCTACGTCCACGGGGGAACATTAATTGACGTTGCAAGTCTTTGGTCAATTTCAAAATACTTAAGGAGTGTATGAACACCTTACCTTTCAACTCACTATTTTGATATTTAAAAATGCTCAAAATTGATGTAGAAAACAACTTAATTCTTCTCTAATACAAACAAAAAGTTCGATTTTCTGTCTAGATAAGCAGCCATTGCTTTCGCACCGAAGTCTGTTGCTAGTCGCATGCATTGACATCCGTTGACAGCTTGAAAATAGCTCAGGCGAAATTCTTGACGTTGAAGGGGTCCGTCTTTGGGCACGTTTATCTCGCGATACGAAGGTCCGGAAGGACGTGTCATCTTTTCTCGTTGACGAAACGCCGCTCTGTCACCGAACGAATGTTGTCCAGTCCCGTAGCATCTCCAATTTCGGCCATGAAAGTTACCACTGATTTTGTAAAGTAAGATTTAATCTTGAAGACGGGTTGACTTATACTCTCTTTCTTCCTTTTTGTTGTGTGCAAGACATAGCAAAACATGTCTCTTGGCTTGTTTAACTCCTTTCTGCTAGGCTATATTGTTTTATAATGATTTTGTCCCCACGTGGGCTTTAAAACTAAAAATAAACTCTACTCGGGCGGAGTGAAGCCGAGTTGTTGCCGTTTTTACCCTTCCGTTCTTTTGACTACAATGCCTGCGAAACATTGCCCGAAGGCTGGGCCAATAGGAACCCGCACTCTTACATACGGGCGACTGTACACATAGCATTCCATTGTATGTCATGCTTTATATTTGTTCGCTATAAACCATCCTGTTTTCTTACTTGAGGTATAGCATACTGCAACAATTTAATGTGAATGTAGCAAATGCCTACTTCAAGGCAATTATTTTGATTCAATATATTTTTTTATCCACAACGAATTTTCGATCCTCCGGAAGTTTTGGGGCTTCAGTCTTTATAAATTGATATTAAGGAATATTTAAGCAAGTGATAGTGCATTTTGGGTCTTGTGTTGTTTAATCCAAAATTAGGGTTTAAGTCGTAGGAGATAAAAGTTATAAAATAAGGTGACACCGGGGGTCACAATTTTATGCAACAAGTGCGTTCATGAAGCAGATGTGAGCCTCGAAAAAGTTGAGGACAGATGAGTATAAACGTCTAGTAAACAAAAGGCTATTACTGGAACTTTTGAATAGACTCGGCCTTTCAGCTATTTATGTTTTGCGTCTCCGTTGTACTCACGTTAAAGGGCCTTCACTACGACATCCACCAAAACCACTAAGATTCTCAGTTATTGCTGCACAGCTGGCGACTCAAAGCGAGTTCTTCAACTATACTCACTGCCAGCTTAACAAAAGCCGGGCTTCTTCAGGTTCACACCTCATGTTCACGCTTTTGGCTTTGTTGTTTATTCTTCGGCCTTCTTAAAATACCGTCCTTAGTTCTTGATGCACAGCCATCGAGTCAAACCAGAGTTCTTCGACTAGCCACGCTGACGTCCTTGGAAATGCTCTGCGTCTTCGTTCCCATATTTTCTCGCCGCCGTCGTTCTAGCCGCATAGTGAAAACGTGTCCCCTCATCACGGTCGAGAGCTGTCGGAACTCTCTCCCCCTGATGTCCGTATGAAGACCAGCAGGACCGGCTGGCCACCCTCCAGAAAGAACTCTTCCTAGCCTTGTGCGAACCGCAGCCGCCTTGTGCCAAGCTACACAAAAGAAGAAAAAAACTGATCGACACATAGCGTTCTTCTTTCTTGTGTTCGATCCTTTCCTGAGTCACCTGGCTCGGTGCGTTGTCGGGCGTTATTGTTGGTACCGAGTTGTTTTTCTTCCCGACGTCGTCTGCGATGATGTATGAGGGGTACATGACTGCCAGCGACCGTTGACACCGACGAAAATTTGCAGAAGACGTCGACCGGGCATGAGAAGCTAGATGCCGGGCCGGAAGTTCTTGACAGTCTATAGCCGCTCGAGGCGACGTGTCGAGCCGTGTTGTGTTTGTGGTTTGGGGCGAACGTTTAATTTTACTTCTAAGAACCGCCAAGACACGTGAAGCTTCCTGGAGCTAATTAGGGCTCCTAGGAACTTAACAGTCATTGGTAATTAACAATACGCTGTATGAATGCAGCACAGCATGGGTATTGTCTCTGCAAAAATACACGCTACATAAAACTAATTTCAATTGAACCAGCGAAACTGAATATAAAAGGAATGGCTAATTTGACGTTACTCTTTTACTCAATTGTTTTTCGGGTGTACTCGTACGTGTTTATGAAGCTGTTGCACTAAATGCCAGCGCATCAACTTTTTATGGCACGCTGAGAGAAAATGATGTGATCAACGCAGAAAGCTTAAGGACTTACAAGGTCTAGATGCGTCGAAGCACAAATACCATCTGCCTCATGATGCTCACAGTCCCAGTGTAAATCGGCTTTTTTGGACAACAGTTTAATTAGCCTCGCCGCTCATTCTCGTTTTCTATAAATATCAATAATTAAACCCCCGCAAGGACCCTCAAGGTGCTTGACCCTTCGGCTTTCAGTGTGTGATGTAGAGCCCACTATGTACCGCAGATAACTCGGACTGCGGATCACGACTGACCGGCATGTTCGGATTGCCAATAATACAATGACTAACGAGAGCAATTGTTGTGGGAATGGTGCCCTTATATGTGATATTTGAACGAGGGTTCACGAGTTTTGGTACGAGTTACAAATTGAAAAGACAACTACACTGAAGAGCAACGCAGACAAAATAATACTTCATTGTTTCATCTGTGTCGTTCATCAATGTTGCCTTCTTTTGAATGTGATGTTTGAGTTATGCGAGCTTTCGACGCGTGCGCCGCCGTGCAGCTCGCCGCGTCGGTGTTTGTCAAGCGCCAGCAGCAGATACGAAGCGCAGACCCGACGCGAGCATCTGGAGCCTCGCCGAAGACTGCGAGCCACGGAAGAAACTAGAACACACAACATAAGAAGGCACGACAAAGAGAGCGAGACCAAATCCGCAATGAAAAAGGACACAGTTAATTGGCGGGCCCGGAAGAGGACGACGCGAAAGATGATACAACGAGCCTGCTGCGCCGCGCTCCTTCCCTTCGCCATCCTTTCCCATTAAAGATAACTGTCCTTGAAAGAAGTCCTTCTTGGGAGACCTTCTGTGTTGTTCCTGCTTTATTCGGCGACGCGGACGTGTTGCGCGCTGCTCTGCGCGGGATCTCTTTATGGGGTGGTCCCCGCGTCTCAACTTACACCCCGCTGTGTCGCCAAGAGGAGAGATCCTCGCATCAAGTGCTGTTCCGTAATCGCCAACTTTGCGGCTCTGAGGAGGAACTCGTCGCCGAGGGTCGCCGCCGTTGTAACGCCCCTGGAGACCGAAGAGCGGACAAGAGAAATTATAACACTTCTGATCCACGTGGAGTAACTCGATGACGCAAACAATCCTGTGTGCTATTAAAAAAATAAAAATAAAATTACAGCAGTGGGGAGGGAGAAGGAGGAATTTGTTAGCGTAAAAAAGGGGGCAATAATGCCATAATGGATATAACGCCGTACACACCTCATTGTAGCTTGGTAACTCTGTTTCCTAGGCGGCACCAACCAGATGGAAATATGTTTATCATAGTCGATGACACCTTGAGAAAGGCAAGGCGTAACGAGAGTGGGGCGTAATATCATTGTTCCCGAGCCATTTTGCACAGCTTTGATGGAAGACAGGGGGGGTGGTTACACCTTTGGTGCGAGTACTGCCATCGACGTGCGGTTGGTCTTGGTGAACAAATGCTGCCTCAACGAGCAATGGCCTGGTTAACAAAAAGGATACTCGGAAATGTATGGTACAACTCACTAATGTAATCTCACTTCGCTCACGTACACTCTAAAAAACACCCGTCGGTCTGCTTTCCCGCACGACACTCGAAGAGCCAATCACCGCAACTTACTGAGGCAGCTCAGCGAATGATGATGCCGAAACATATGTTTAGACCAAAAAACGCAGTCTGAGTTGTGACATTAAGCAATGCAAGCGTGACGTTTTGCATTGCTTAATGTCACAACTCAGACTGCGTTTTTTGGTCTAAACATATGTTTCGGCATCGTCATTCGCTCAGCTGCCTCCGTAAGTTGCGGTGATTGGCTCTCCGCGTGCTGTGCGGGAAAGCAGACGCATGGGCTTTTTTTTTTTTAGAGTGTAGCGTTTGCGACAGTGAAGAATACTGGCAGTGGCAGATGGGCGTTTTGCCGAAAAAAAGCCGTCAAAGTAAAGTTTTATATAGTTAGCCTTATTTCAATGTTGCCCTGAAAAGAGTAAGTTCATATACACGCGCAAACAGACGGCGAAGTCATGTTTAGCAAACATTAACGTCCGTTACGGGCTAAGGTTGACCGAAATCATGGAATCTCAAAACGATAAAAACAAATAGTGGCTACTCGCGAGACACGATGAGAACAACATCAAATTTTTTTCACGAGCGTAATAAGATATATTGCATAAAAAACTGGAAAATACACTTTTGTTGTCTATAACGCGAACGCATGAAAGGCGACTGCTGCAACGAGAACAGATATTGCCAACTACCTTCACGGTTTCACGTGAAGCGATGAGGTTAAATTAAATGTGGTATTTTTTTTTTGTGGAATTTATAAAGTAATGGCTGCAACACATATATCGACGAAAAAAGTTCAACAAAAATATAATACGAACCTCATTTATCACTGCAAGAGCGAGAGTAATGGTGTGTTTCTTTCCTCTGTCCAGGCCTGCAAGGGATGTGCCATCCAGCCATGCCTGTGCAAAGGTGAAAAAGGGGATGTGGTGAGTGACTCTGAATGACTGGGACTGTTTATTTTTTTTTCGTTTTTTTTTTCTATTGTATCTCGAACGCAGTACAACCGTGTTTCAATCTTTTATTTAGACTTTAATCCATTTTCTTGTGAAACAGTTCGAAATTAATTTTCGAGCAGTTTAAACTCACTGTCAATGACTAATGTCTAACGAAGGAGAATGACAAACTTTGTGTATGACGAGGCCGGAGAAATAGTTTCCACGGGAAATTAAAACGTACGATGTGACACTCAAGATGGTCGTGTGGTGTATTTTTATACCAATACGTTTTTGTTTTTATTACTTTTAGTTCGCCGCAGATTGCAGTGATTGGGTCTCTGAATCCTTTAAGAATTGTATGCTACAGGCATGAACCTGCGATTGGGCAGCGATTATCATAATAAAGGAAGCAATAGTTTGACCAATCGCGAACGTCGACCGCAGCGACGCGTTTGGTCGCGAACGTCGCTAATAGCGAATGAAATTGAAATGTATTTTAAACTAGCAAACGCAAAACATCGCAATAGAATATAAATGTAATTTCTTGTTTTTAGGGTTCATAGCCACCAACTGCGCTTAAAGTGACTTACACTTTATTGAAAATGCTGAAGGCAAGAAAATTAGAGACATTTTAACATATTTCACTTAAATCATTACTTATATAGAAATAATGAATATATATTATTAGATATGCCTGATTGTGTAGAGATGGGTTAAAGCATCCTTTTCAGCTTTGAATAGTAATCCAAGCAAAAAAAAAATAAGCCTGCCATCGGAAGAAAAAAAACACTATTTTTTTTTTATTTTGTGAGAGGCGATGCTTGCTGCGTATTAGAAAATATTCATCGTGGTTGGTGGTGTACACCTCTAGTTATAGTTAATATACTCGCGTAAGTATACTAAGAGATAAATAAAAGAGTCGTAGTACTTGTATAAATGTCTTCAGTTCATGCAATAAAAGCACTGAATAAAAAATGAAATTCGTCTTCAAGATACTATCGTCAATTTGAATTACTCAACCAATGTCACTTTTGATCAATTAGTCGATAAGAACCACAAACTCAGTTAAGCTATTTACCACGGGCTTTATAAAGGCTGATTACGGATTGAATGAATATTAAATAATATATCTGCACTTGCCGCGAATTTTATGTCGTGAATACATATAGTGTATACTCTATGTTAAATGCGGTATATATTCAATTAAATATAAGTGTTATGTGTTTTCTTTCTTTTACAGAAACAGACATACTTTTCAAGATAACTAAAGTTTATAAAAACCAAAAAGAAGAAACTAAATTCATGAAGTTTGTCATAGTTGAGATCTAACGCATCTAACGCATTATCACACGCTAGGCGTTCGCAAGCGCGCTTCAAATGGCATCACAATCGCTTTGTACTTATGCACTATTCACAGCTAAGATGACAAAGAGGTGGGAGCTACGTGTTTGACGAACCAATCCAGCACCTGCCTTTCATCGCCTTATCCCGCTCTTTACTAACATAGCGCGTGATCACGCGGTTCAAAAGCGGCGGTTCAGTGGTTCAACAAGTACGTAGTTTCCACCGCCCCGTCTTCTCAGCGTTGAACGGAGCTTAGCAGAATCACTGGACGCTCTCGAGAAGCCCTCACCTTTCTTTTCGGGCACAGGAAGATACCCATTGGATCTCTTGGCACATATTGGATCCCTTGACTTGTGTTCCTTGTCTCGGCTGTCACGTAACTGTTTGACATCTTGGCCCGTTGGATCTCTTTACCAACATTGGATCTCATGACTCGGCTGCCACAAGTCAAGAGATTCAAAGAGTCAAGAGGCACAACAGGTCAAGAGGCCCAACAGTCCCTGTTGGGTCTCTTGACCCGTTGGACCTCTTCACTCGTTAAATATCTTAAGCTTAAGCGCCACGAAGACACGTCGACGACTGTTCCTGCTTTGTCCCGTAGGGCTACCCTGGCCTGCCTGGCTCGATGGGCACGGACGGAGCCCCCGGGGCCACGGGCCCCGATGGACCACCTGGACCGAGAGGCGAGCGTGGTACCACGGGCGACACCGGGGACGCTGGCAGCAAGGGAATCAGAGTGAGTGGCCAATTTAGCAACAGGGTTGAGTGACCGGGTAGGTGTTGATAGAAAGTCTCGTACGCGCTCATCTCCAGACAAGGGCGTCGAACAATGTTTTCGAACGTGTCTGGAAAAGGGCGAACAACAAAAAAGCATCAAGACAATCTGGAAACAGTGTCTCATCATGATTTTATGAGGTATTATTGTGTACACCTGCTAGCACAGAAAGAAGAAAAGCGCTTTTGTTTCATACTTTCGAGATGAATTCTAACGAATTCGATAAGGGACAAAGAATATATTGAACGCAGTACGCATCTGTTACCGCATTTCGATCGCCATAATAATAACATGTGATAGCTGTAACAAATATCAGCGCAAACGAACGACTTTTAAACTTAAAAGTTGCGTGCTTTAACAATTTTGTTATAATAATCAATATGTAGATATAGCAGGCATGTAGCCAGGATTTTGTTTCGGTGGGGGGGGGGGGGGGGGGGGGGAGCATGACAAAATACTGTATGAGGGGGAGAGGGAAGAGGAGGTCCCTGCAAGATCGAAGATTTCGGGGGGGGGGGGGGGGGCCGGGCCCCATGGGCCGCCCCCGTGGCTACGTACCTGAGCTACAGCTTAATTTATCCCAGATAAATTTAACGGTACTGAGAAGTGATTTAAATATATACTATTCATTTCTATTCGTCTCCAGCTAGAACTTCATCGACGTTTTATCATACTTGCAACAGAAGTCATGTTTATAACTCTCATTTTATGTGCAACTGCCCTGTTAGGCGCCTATACTCCGTCTGACATGAAATACAACCGTAGCCAACGATCCTTTCCGACGGAGCCAATCAAACCGCGCCGCAAAAAGTAAATTGTCGCGGCGCTTAAATTGTGCGTCTTCGATCACCGGCCCAGTGAATGCGAGTTCGCACCCAGTGAATGCGAAATGATCCTGCGCTTTTGTTTGTGCTTGATTGGTTTCGCTGATCATAGAACACACACAAAGACGACAATTGATTGTCTCTATCGCAGAACGTAGCGTCGGCTGTGCACGGACCTATAGTGTGAAGCGGGGTATGTAGAGAGTTACGAGTCTAGGTGGCAACAATGTTTCTTGTTCACCTATACATTACGCCCTATGTCGATGAAATGTTACTATTTCGAAAATAAACACTATCTACGCTCTCTCGTTTTTTTATTATCCGCTCTTACCATACTAAAGCCGCGTTGCGCCGGGTATTTTGCGGAAGGGGGGGACACGAGATCACGTCGTTTTCAATCTGGTGTATGTTTCATGCACCAAATCTTTATTGGAGACCAGATATAAATTTCGCTTTCTATCCTTGCTCATATAGGACAAATTTCTACCCCGTAATGTGCTGTGGCTAGCCGAGTTTGGTCATGAAAATCTGGCCTACGTGGATCTGCACTGCACATCAGGAAAGCTCATTTTTAAAATCCCACCCCGACAATCTACTGGTGGCTGTAAACTGGTCTCCACTGGATGCTACTCCGGTTGCGGTGCCCGTTTATTTAAGATAAATTAAATGAGTACTTAGGTCTTCCTTAAATATCAAAGACCTCTGCGGTGCTGACCGACATAACCGTGTAGGTTTTAGGAAGTCAACTGCGTCATTTTAGCAAAACAAAGGAAAAAAGAAAAAAGAAATCTGAATGTATTTACCCGAAATATACTTTGTCATGCGTGGCAACCATCACAACATGTAAGATGCTGTGCAGGTTCGAGAGGCTATATTGTCCACTGTGCTAGCTATCAATCTTGTTCCAAATGACTCGCGTTTACTGGCTGCGTAAATTCCTGTGCAGCAGCGCCAGTGAGAGCGTAGCATGCTTGCGAATCACTTTACATTGTCGAGTTATAGGTAACTTAACTGAAAACAAGAATTCGCATTCACATGATTTTAATTTAAAAAAAAAAAAAACAATTCTGGATTAGCTATAAAGAAAGGCCTCATTTTTTCTTACAAAACTATTTTTTTTTTCAGGGTGACGAAGGTGCCGTGGGGTTCCCAGGGCGGCCTGGAGCGCCCGTGAGTATTGTCTTGTTACTTTGTTACTTGTTACACTTTATTTGCAAGTATTATTAGCAGCATCATCCTTACGTTGATTGTATTTGTTTTAGTTCTAGTTTTACTGGTTTCTGAAAGCCCATTGCCGGTACATATGTGATTATTTTATGCTCACTGTATTGCAGGGAAAACCCGGTTTGGATGGCGTTCATGGAGACCCAGGCATAAATGGATGCAACGGAAGCAAGGTATTGTTTTATGCCTTTTTAGGAAGGGTCAACCTTCTGGGTTAGATCAAAATCAGTATAACTTTTGTCTTACCTGCTACGGTTCATGCACGGTCTCTGCATGAGAACAAAATTTTCTGGTTGTGTATTTTAATTTCTTTAATATGAACATTTTATACTTTCTCTCTTAAAGGGAGACGTTGGACCCAGAGGTTATGACGGATATCCAGGACCAAGGGGACCTGTTGGCCCTCAAGGGGACCGTGGAGCGAAGGTAGCATAAAATTCCACTTATACACGCTGGAAAATAAGTTTTTTTGCGGATTATTTAATTTAATTATTGAATCGCGTTTTTTTTTTTCAGGGTATACCCGGTGATGGTGGCGTCAACTCTATTGGTTATCGGGGAGAGCCAGGAGACGATGGAAGACCTGGCCCTCCTGTAAGTACAGGCATATTAAATCAAACCACTTCAATATATACTTCAAATCTTGAGTTTTGGTTGTCTTTACTGTATGAGCTATATTATCGGTGTTCTTGTGTTTTCTTTTTCGTTATAGGGCGCACCGGGGCTTCCGGGCTATCACGGGGACAAAGGAGCCCGCGGTGAGACTGGAAAAGAGGTTAGCAGCGGCGTAGACTTTCCATTTTCCCGGGGGGGGGGGGGGGGCGGCTGAGAAATTTTCCCGGATTTTTACACCGGCAATTATCAGCAGTAGGAGGTACATTTTACAGCGTATGTATATATTCTAACAGCAGAGCTCTTGGTCCCTTACTTTTTTCTAATTTGTATTAACGACTTGCCAACTAATATTTTCTCCCGCATGCGGCTCTTCGCGGACGACTGAATCATCTGTATCTTCGTTGGGTGCGTTAAGTTGTGACAGCTTCGAATGGAGTAGGCGCCCTGTAAATGAACTTCCGGTTGTTTTATTTATCTTGTTTTTTTTCTGGTGGGACATTGCAAAATGGCAGGTTGCTTTTGGAAGCAGACGTAAATTTGATCGATGCCGCGTTACCTTCTCGCCAGAACTGGAGATTGAAGCTAACGAAAGCACGCTGGGATTTCATTACCCATGTATTTTGTCAATAAAGGCAACGAGGCCGCCTTTTGTTTACATGCCAGTACTAGAAGCTCGTTACATGGCACGTAAACAACGTCTCGGTGAGGATCATGGCCTGGGGGGGGGGGGGGGGGCACGACCCCCGATGCCCCCCCGTAGTCTACGCCTATGGAGGTTTGTACAGTTTTTTTTTAGGCGGGAGGTGCTCCTACTCCTACTTTGTGAAAGTGTTTACCAGCAAACTCCTGTTCAGAGCACTGCATTGTTTGAGCCTCCGAATGAGAACCTAACGTTCAGAAGTTCCGTCGGAATTCTCCTCCGATATCAGGGCAACCGAGGTCCTCCCGGCGACCCCGGACCAAAGGGTGTACAAGGAGACGGCGTGCAAGGACCAAAGGGCACAAAGGTGAGATTACTCGGAATTTGAATATAAGCAAGTGAATGTGAATCGGCTTCCTACGTTTAAATTAAAACACCGCGAAAAGACAAGGAAAAAGTTGACGAAACCTACGCACAAGAGTGTACGTTCCTTCGACTTGACCCTCGTCTTTTTGTAATGATTTCATTTTGCTATGCACTACCAACTCGCTCAAGTTTACACTCTTCTACGACCTCACAGGGGGACGTAATAAAACATTGACAAGAAATTAGATGACCGAGCTCCACTAAGTGACCGCTAATATTTGAATTCGTGAGATCGCACCAAACGAAATGGCTTGGCAACATGCTTGCAGGGAGAAATTGGACCCCAAGGTGAAGTCGGCGATCCCGGACAGTCGACGTTTTTTACAATGCCTCTTCCGACGGAACAAATTCCTGGTCAAAAAGGACCCCAGGGAGAAAAGGTTGTTTGCGCAGATATTCTTTCAAACATTTGAGGTGAAATCAAGTGCAGTGCTGTTGCTGATGAAACGCTGGTGTCCTCCAGGGAGAAGTTGGAGAATGGGGAGAACGAGGCTCACGTGGATTAGATGGGCAAGAAGTAAGTTTTTTTGCTTGGTTTTTACTCTTTGTTACATTTTGTTGCCGAGTAAATTATTTATTGAAGCTGCGGGTATAACCATTCAGTATGGGCCATCTCGATAAGATGTTTTTAAACACATTTTATTTAAAGGTTTTTTTTTGTCTTAGGGTTGCTTTTCTTTTCTCAAAATCAGATCCCATTACCCGAGAGCTGAAACGTCTGTAAAACAAAAGCATGTGATTAAAATCCCGTTCACCCTCTGTCTAGTTACTTCATTCTTTCTGTAGGGAGCTTAGTATGAAAATTAGCGTTAATTCTGCACAGGATATTTCTAGCAAATTTTAAGTTTGACATTAACAATTTGTTTAATTTTTTAAGCCTTTTTTAGTATCATTTGGTGTTTTCCGAGTTACTAATTCCTTTAGCGTTCTGCTACATACACAAATTTTGTGTAATCCCTGCAAGCGATAGAAGTGTTGTGATTGTGTGAGGTTACCTTCGCCAGGTTATAGGTCCGTGTTTGTAATTTTAGTCAATACATAACAGTGGTGGTAAAATTGTTTCTCAATTTAATTTCTGTCTTTTAGGGAATACCGGGTGATGACGGTCTCAAGGGAGAGAAAGGTGACATCGGCGAAGATGGTCCACGTGTAAGTTTTACACACATCAACAGTGCGGTTCCGATTTCTGCTTCCAATGTTTCTATAGTCCACGTAATTAACCTATGTTTATCAAATAACGTGTATTTTTATGAATTGAGTATTCCTGCTATAAATCTTAGAGACCTAACTTATTCAAGGCCTCCTACAGTATTGTGTGGAAATTAAACATTTCCGGGAAATGCGCATGTATCTTTCGGGTATTTCATTAAGTTATGTGGCCATCTTTTTAAAAATTCTTCAGATTCTGACCACAAAACTATTCGTGTTTGCCTTCTGAAGGGCAGTTTTATAGGCTCTTTAAGTGTGTTAAACAATTCAAAATAAAAATAAATATTTATTTTAATAAAAATGATTAAATATACGTTTTACGCTCGCAATCATAACTCTTGATTCAAATAGACTAATGGAAGATGGCTTGGTAGTAAAATAACTATATAAGCAGGGTGTGTAATTAACCACGATGTTTGCGTTTTCATGAGTGTGAAACGGTTTATAAGTAAAATAGTATCGAAACTACAATCATTTTGAGGGGTCGTGTCTCAACTGAAGCATCATAACATCAAAATTCATACAGGGTTTTCAATTATCATTGTTTGATGCACAGCTTAACGTGTAATAAATAAGCAAAAGAAGTTTAATCAAGTCTTTGTCATTTATAACAAAGTTACGGGTGTTCTTGTAATGAAGAACATCTGAAAAACAAGTTTCCAGAAAGACAAACATAAACATTTTAATTCACCCAACAGGCATTTGCTTTAAAAAAAACTACTACTACCTTTGAACCGAACAAGGTAGAGATTATTTTTTCTACAACACAATTATGAAAGCTTAAAGAAAAGAAAATTTGACTCCAACTAAGTGTTGAAGAAAACAAAAATAAAAATGTTCAATCACTACAGGCGTTTGCTTAAAGGCTAATTTTAGAAGTAAACAAGGTAAAGATGTATTTTTTCTGCAGCACTATTCTGAATGTCTGGCAATGCTTGAAACATCAAAAATAAAAATTATAGTTTTTGCGAAACACATTGGTTGCAAGGGTGGCTACATACCTTAAAGTAGTTGATACTCAGACGTCCAAGCAGCACAAAAACTCCACAGGGAGACGGGAAAAGAGAAGTAGGGTACCTGCATGAAACTATAGGGTTGATACAGTGAATCTTGCGCTGTAAAACAAGCCAAAAAAATGGCTTCCTGCATATATAAATCTCAAACTTGCACCGAATGTGCACTGAAGAGGTACAATTTAGTTGATAAAATTTTAGGCCATTACTTTTTTTTTTTTTTCAGTGAAAATTCAGACTAGCAAACTTGCCAAAGACTACGGATCACCTGTTCGCAGACGACCGAGTTAGCGATGAATGCAACTTGTGACACCCTCCCCCGAAAGTCGCAGCGAGAGGACAACAGAGTGTGTCTTTCGCTCGCTGCGCCTTTACAGACTGCGCCACAACTTTCATCCATCATTCACTCAGTCGTCTGCGAACACGTCTGCCGTCGACTTTGACAAGTTTGTTGATTTCATCTTTTTTACAGGAAGGGGACTACGTTATGAAGTATCGCGAGGTAAAAGTGACCAGCTTAATGCACATTTGGTAAACGTTGGAGCTTTCGACATGCAGATGCCGATTTTTCAGGCTCGTTTTACAGCGTAACATCTACCGGTAGCCACCCTAATCAATCGGACAGCACAAGCATATGTCGAAGGACTCTGGTGAAGTACGTTTAATTGTTGTCTAAGAGCTAGCCTTTTTTGATTTTATGAGACTTGCAAACTGAAATAAAACGATCGATCATGTTAAAGGGTGTCTCTTACACGTGTTGTGCTTCGGTCGTAGGGCAAACGAGGGAAGCCGGGACCAGAAGGCGATTTAGGAGACAAGGGCCAGAAGGGAGAACCAGGATTCACCGGACAAGACGGAATGATCGGTGTCAAGGTATAAGGAGTTAGACAGCTACGTCACATGAAAGAAGTTTTCAATGTAGCCACAAAAGTATCACTTAGAGTAGGGCTGCACGGCTAAAAAATGACGCGGGCCAAAAAAAAATATGTCTATTGGGATCTACGAAGGTTTTTAATAACTGGCAGACAGGTTTTCAATATCTGGCATCATCTCACTGGTTGCCGTCTTGAACATATCTCGCAGTGTCATGTCCGCGAGCCGCACAGGAAGTGCCCGTGAGCCGGATCCGGCCCGCGGGCCTCATGTTGTGCACCCCTGACTTAGAGGGTTAGCTACAAACCTCTGCTTCGACGGAGCGGTCTAAAAAAATATAATAAAGAGTTGTTAAGAAAATTTGAGATAATTAACTACAAACTTTTATGTCAAAATCGCTTTCTGACGTACGTCGCAGTAACACTATCAAATTGACTAATTTCTTTATTTAAACAGTTTTAAACTTGTCTTCAATCAAAACACACACTGCTATAACGAACTGTGTACGCATTAAATAGGTTAATCATACACGCCACCAGTCCTCTCTTGTTTTTATCCTACAGTCATTGATAACTTTAAAAGACACTGAAATGATAGAAAAAAATGTTAAAAGGGCTTAGGCAGGACACGTAATATTTGTATTTTTTCACAGAAAAACAAATTCCGCGCAATATTTACGCCGTTAGACGAAATTTAGGTGGAGATCACGGCCCGCTCTAAGCCCCGCCCACAGATCAGTGGGCCAGCCCTTTACTACTGGATTGGCTTGGCTGCTTGGCCGAACACGCTCGCAAGCCTAGTGCCTCCTTCTCGCGATGTCCGGTGCGCCTAGTCTGGCGTCTGGCACCACCTGCAAGTCGTGGGAGCAGACGCGCGGAAGCCTCCGGCATCATCAGCTATTCTACCACCGTTAATCATCGTCTGCAACGCCCCTAAGACGCGGCCATGAAAGCAGCGCGTCCGCGTTCGCCTACGCTTGTGTCCGTCTGCTTTTCCGCCCGGGTCTAAAACCATCTGCAAAGATCGCAAGACACGACCGTAAAACCAGCGTCCTAGCGTTCTATCACGCACCAGGCACGATTCAATGCAAGCGTCTGTCAGCGTCTATCGATGTGAGTTAGGAAGTGACCAAGAGGGCTAAAAATATCAACAAAAGAAATATGCAGTCTTTGCAGTTCTTCTGTCTAGTTATCTTGCATAGCGTCCACGATCTAGGTAAGTGAGCGTCATGGCCTACAATTAAAACGTGATCTAAGAATATTCACTTAAGCTAGCCATGTGCACTGCTGAAAACTTGAGAGCCAAGGGCCTTCCAAAGCGAAATGACAGAAACAAACTTGCACAAACTTGATGCGAGAAGAACACCGATTACTTCTAGCGAAATGGCTCGTAATTTCTTACCTGTGTAGGTTACCTTTCAGGACCAAAACCATGGCCGCAATCACGACATTTACACGATTCTCCAAGTAGCGGGGCCGCTTTTACGGGAACAGACACATTTATTTAACATCAAAACGATTAAACTAACAAATCAAGCCAGGGCGACCAAAATAGTTGACGTGGTACGCTGGGCTTACTTATAGTCACTCTTCGAAAACAAGCACCCGCGCAGCGCTTCCGAAGGCGTGCAGTTGCGACAGTTGTTTTCTGCAAACTACGTCTTTTGAGGATATCTTCATCTAAACACCTCGGTGAAAGCGATACGACTCGCACTCATACAAATATTCGAGCTCAACGAGCTTCGCGGTGCAAGAGCGACACTTGTCGGAAATGCCGGCCATATTTTTTATCGTTTGAAACCAAAGCGGAAAAGACGATCTCGGGATATTTTTGAAAACAATAATGACTCTATCTACATAGATTGTTTCTCAAAAATATAAAAAATAAATGTCGAAGAAATGACTACCGCGGCACTTAGAAACAAGTTTGCAACCAACATTCGACACATCAATCGTATCTCCCACCAATGAGAGCCAAGAAATGGAGTGTAGCTATCTGCGTACCTGGTCGGGGCCTAGCGTGGGCTACATCCAACTTAATTGCGGCTAAAGGCGTCATTATTGCCCAAAATATATTTATTTTGCGTGATAAAAAAAAAGATGTAAATAAGCCTATGATTTATATTTTCAATGTCTGTGCGTAGTGATAATGTGACGCTTTAGACTCAAGGCGCCCTGCGTTTCTTACGATGTCAGTAACTCCAATGGACTATCGGTAGTGAATAAGATCCTACTTCTAACAGGTGAAATGAAACATATGACTTCAAAGTGTTTTGTCTCCGTCGGATGTATTACGTTAAGGTGCAACGGAGACATTATCGTTTACGCTTAAATTACTTTCCAATACCCTCGAAGCGCGTGACTAAAACATGTGACTAAAACCATGCTAGGGCTTTTCTGGAGACCCTGGAAGGCCCGGGAGACCTGGACAGCAAGGACCACCGGTGAGTTCAGAGCAATAATGGCGCATTCTTCTTTGACAGTTCTTCTTTTGGAACAATACAAAATCATATAATGTCACACGTATTAATATTTGTTGCCATTTGTAGGGACCACCTGGGCCTTACATTGAAACTGCTGAAAGTGTGCCAGGACCGAGAGGTCCGCAAGGAGAACCAGGAGACCAAGGGCCGCCAGGATTTGATGGTACTTGACTTACTCCGAGAAGGACGGCTTACCTTGTCACCTAATCACTGGTGCCTGTATACCAATTGGTACTTGCAGTTTCTCGCGTTCCATTATAAAATGTTAAGATTGGTTCATACTTTTGCATGACGTTTTCTTCCTTGCTAAAGAATAAACCCCATAATCCCCAGGGCGTCGCGACAGATATATTGGTAAATCGGCAACGGATCATAAGAAAAACAATGCAACGCTCTGCAAAAGGTTTTTTAAAAAAAATGAGAAAAAGATAGGGTATTGATATTTTTAGTGTCAGAAGATTGAGGACGCAGATGAGCTGGTGAATATTAGGCAACCTAATAAATCCGGAGACACGGAAACAAAAAGGACGTATATGACCAAAACGGTGTATCTGTACGTTCTTTTTGTTTCCGTGTCTCCAGTTTTCGTTTATTGCATCCGAGTGTAATCATTTAAATACGGTGAAAAATAAATAGTTCTGTATATGCTTCGCCTCTTCTGCGATTTCTCTGCCTTTAATGAGACTTGTCGCACGCGCTAAAGAGCCGGGAGGAAGGCAACGAACGCGTGCTGAAGGTGGATCTTTTACTGCATCCTTAATCTGTCTTGGCGACTTTAAATGCGCAATAAACATCGCCTACACATTCACGTCTTACACGGGACAAAGCCACTCCCGTTACAAGTGAGGTGCTAAAAAATCTCCTGGTCACAATGCAGGAAACCCTGGACCACGCGGTCCTATGGGATACCGGGGCCCTATAGGCGAGCCTGGGGTCCCTGGAGAGCAAGGTCAACCCGGACCTCGTGGTATTGCCATCAAAGGCGAGCCGGGAGAAGACGGTAAGCCATTCTTGTTACTTTACGGGTGTTACTGAATTCCTAAATTGACTAGCAGATATCACTATAGACAATTAAAGGGGCGTGGACAGGGTAGATCACCGTTTCCTCGGGGAGAACTTAGATACTTGATAGACCTTCTAGCTATGCATGCAACAGAAAAAAGAAAATAAAGCTGGAGATGTGCCTTTACCATCCCAAATATCTGTTCATAATAGAGTGGCAATGGTCATGATTTTTCTTTTGTTTGTCTTGTGGGACTATAAGTAGGGCTCGGTGTTTTCGGATAAATCCGAAAAACTCCGAAAAACACCCGCCGGTAAAATTTTTGTCAATTCTGATTTATCCGATAAACTCCGAATGTTTATGTGCCAATGCCACCCCCCCCCCCCCAAAAACAAAAGCAAAAAAAAAAAGTAAAAACATTTTTTTTCTAGAATTTGTTTAGCACAAAGTCAATGGTCCCGGGAAAATGGCACCATCATTATCCTTCAAATCTCAGACCGTTGTCAGAAGGGGTCTTGCCGCTTGTCTTGTCGAGGTTGATTCAGGGCAACAGGTCATTGTACATTCGGGTCCCGACAGAAGCCACTCTTTCGGTTTCCAGTTTGGGCCATATGATTTAGAGAAAGGAGAGGGTATGTTTATGGGGGTAACAGTGAAAGCTGTGGACCATAGAGATTGTAGAAAATAGAAAAGAGGGGCAGTTGAAACTATCTATTACATCCTTAACCACTCCACCTCGCGCGGCCGCGGGATAGATTGATGGGATGACTACGAGCTTTCTTGCGGCTACCTCTGGAAGTTTATTGATTTTAAGGCATCGACGTGTATCGAAGGCACACATGTGTGCGACTTTTGTCGTGGCACAAATTAATAGTGCCAATGGCAATGACACGAACGTCAAATTCAACTGAAGGCATTTTAATTGATACAAGCGCGTTTTATTTTTTATTTGGCATACATTTACATCCCGTTAATATTTACATATTTATTTTCAATAGGAAACACTGTGAAATTAAACTCCGAATTTTGGTGAATTGGCAATCGAACAAATGTTAACTCCGATAAACTCCGAATCTTCGGCAAAAAATAAACTCTGAAAAACACCCTCCGATTTCGACGAAAAATAAACTCCGAAAACACGGAGCCCTAACTATAAGCAAATAAAAATATGTGCACTGCTTGCAGTATGATCACGTAGTAACACATCTTCGTTTTGCTGGGTCCATAAATTTAATAAAAATGGCAATGAAAATGATGATCTTCAATTGATTATGATTGAAAGAGAAAATGCGGTTTTAATAGAGCTTGACGAACTCATTATAGCAATTTATACATAGGAGAATCCTACTTTCATAGCGCTTCTTAGCGAGATAGGTCGAAGCTCTGAACAAATATTGAGAAATTAACTCTGCCGCACAGTGTAAAAAGAATGTACTAGGATTAACCAATGGCGAGCTGCGGAGGGCGTACATGTTCAGGCATCGCATCATGCCCTAAGTGCGCTCTTCCCGCTGCTCCCCATCATAGTGCAGCATATTAGAATGCAAGATTCTCCAGGCGGTGACACCGTCTGAGCTTTCCTTTGACGCCCACAGTGATGTTACTTGATCTGGTTTTATTTCGATATCACCCTATCTAGAACCGAAACAAAAAAAAAAAAACTATATTGTAATTGGCAAAGTATTTGTGGCATTAATTATCGGTCCGTCGATGTTTACTGACAGTTTCTGTTGTTTCTTTGAATTACTATCGCTAAGGGGTCGAACAGGCGTACTTGGAAGTCCGCACAGAAGTTGAAAGAGGCGTCAAAATGTCTATAAGAGCTTTAAAAATAAACCATTACACCTAGCAATGTTAGCGACGTTTACAGCGCGAGGAAACAGTGATGTACAGCGCTTCTTGAGTCGTCCAGCTTATAACGTCCATATCGGCTTTGATCGCACCCGCACCATAAGAAAGCAATCAGTCATATATGTCTTCAAAGTAATAACTTAGCATTTCTTTCGCGCTTCAAAATTTCAAACCAGGTAAAACTGCGAAGCCACCATAATATTGTTCGCTAGCATTCCAAAAAAACATGTATCACATTATTTCTGAAAAACGAACTTACTGTCTTGATCGGGATCGGGGGAGAAACGGGACGGACAACACAAAGCTCCAAACACAGCTGAAGTCTTATTAGGCCGAATCACACTTAAATAGGCCCATGACCAAGAGATGTACCCACCAAACAAAACAAGAAAAATAAAAGAAAAACATTGACCATTCTAACTAACACACTGAGGAACAAAGTTTTAGTTTTAGTTATTGCCCTCGCGTTTAAAATATGGATCAACATGCCCAATTTGTTCCCAGTGAGGCCATTTTTCCAGTACTACATTCAAGCGTTCGTCTCTATAGGTCCCAATAAATCCTTTCGAAAAGTGCGCGCCATATACAAGGTGCTGCGACAAATATCCGGGTTCGAAATTGTTTGGGCGCGTACTCAGAGCCTATATTGGACAAGAGGGCTGGGTCAACTTTCGACGTGAAATATCGGATCCAATGCGGAGCGCAAGTTCGTCTGCTAGTTTTGCAGTGGTTGTTGTGACGTCTAGAACGCCGAGTTCTGATTGGCTCCGATTGAAGGATGGTTGCTAGACCCCAAGGCAAGCTGCCTTGGGGTCTACCCACTATTCTTCCAATGAAAGCCAATCAGAGCTCGGTGCCGTTCTGACGTCACCTCAACTCCTGCGCAAGAAACAAACGACTTGCTCCCCGCATAGCACGCTCCGTGCCCAAGAAATGGCGATCTCCAATGTTACTTGCTGGTGTTTTGACAAGAGCCTATTAAAGTTTTTTTTATTATCACTGAAATTGCCTCGTTTGTCTTTTTGACCAAGAACTTCTAAAAGTTGCTGGGAAATTGCCGATTCTGTTGTGTATATTTCCAATGTTTTCTTTTTTCCTTTATTAGGTTTCCCCGGCCTGCCCGGAGATCGGGGGCGTGAGGGACCTCAGGGGCCTCAGGGTCCCCCTGGGGAGAAGGGTCAGCAGGGCCTTAACGTCATGGGACCTCCCGGAGAAGACGGAAGGCCCGGAAGGGACGGAAGGCCCGGGCTTCCGGGAGTACGCGGAGACCCCGGAGAACCAGGTAAGGCTGGCGCCAATCCGGATAGCGAGTCGTCTGCTTCTTGCGCAGAAGTTGCGTTGACGCCAGAACGACGCCGAGCTTTGATTGCCTTTGATTGAAAGGATTGTAGGAGACCTCAAACCAAGCTGTCGTGAGGTCTCAAAGCCAATAGAACTCGGCGTCGTCCTGACGTCACAGCATCTCCTGCGCACGAAGCAGACGCCTTGCTGTCCACATACCAGCTAGAAGGCCAGACCTGTGCATGATGTCATCATTAGAGGACTCCCCACCCAAGCGCCCCAAGCGGCAATTACGCTGAATCTCGACAAGAGTACGCCACAAAGCGGCGGACACATCAGCCGCCGTCACCTAGGCAAAAAGCTAACTACCACTCTGAGGCCTCGAATAAGCTTTTATATCGTTTTGCAAAGGCAAAGAATGTGACATTGCAGATGCTATGGTTACCGCAAGCTTTACATTTATGGCGCAAACCACTTCTCGGTTTCAAGGATTGACTGACTTGTACAATAATGTTTTGTCTGGCCTCTTTTTATCTTTTTTTTTGTTAGAGTCATGTGCAAAACATGTTATCAAAAATATTTACCTAGATATGACTTCGTTTCACACCCTTCATTTTATGCATCCGCACACTCGACGACACTGTTAATGAGAACAAATGATCGCAACTTTTTTTGTTGTTGTTTTTTTGCCTAAAGTTTAACCACAGCCATAAAATGAGTGGTGTTGTGGAAACTACTCCTTCAAGACAGTAACCACTGCGGTAAAGTTTAGCACCCGTCAATAAACTATCTGATCAAAACTCAAAAGAAGAAACAACGATGCCTTTTTCGCGCTAACAGTGTCGCGCAGTGTACGTTATCCCACTACGGCCATGCAACAGTGCCTATCGAACAAACACGCCTGAGGGAGCGATGATATGGACCTTTTTCGGCCTCTTTGTGACATATCCGCGTGCCGTTGTCAATCTTCTCACAGTGAAGCTGCTTACATTTCGCGAGCTAGTAGAGAGCTGGGCGTCACTTTGCACATGCACAGTGCGATACGCCATGCTGTTTGAGTGATTCAGAGCGCTAAAGCCCGCTATTGTAAAACAACTTTCTATTAGAGAGTTTTAGAATAGAGGGCTCCAACGGGGCCACCAAGTAGCTTGGGGAACCCCAAGCGGAGACCTAACGGTGAAGCTCTTGTGTTCGGTAAACAGAGCGTTCTCCCTCGAAGACGGTGGCTCCTCGCTGTCACCAACGACGTTGTTTTTGTTTCAGGCGAGAAAGGAACCCCCGGTAGAGGCGTACGACAGGTGGGCCCCGTCGGTCCCATGGGTCTTCCGGGAGAGCAGGGAGAGCCCGGCGCTCCAGGGCGTCCCGGAAGGGACGGAGAGGACGGCTTCCCTGGGCCCAGAGGCGACGACTGCGGCACCTGTCCACCCGGAATCCCCGGAAAGCGCGGCGACCGAGGGGAGGACGGCAGACCAGGTAACTTTTCTGCGCTACACCAACTCCTTCGTCGGGGGACGACCAAAAGGAATGCCTCCAAACACGTCCTCGTTGGCCCACACCAGGTGTTGGGCACTGCGCGTGCCCAGGTTCACGCCAAGTGAAGAACGTTCTGCGCATGCGCCGACAGCAGCACCACCGCAGCCGTGTGACGTCAGCGCCACTCGTTCATTGACAACTCGAGAAACGCAAGGCGTTGCTATAAGAAGATGGTCGGCAGGACCATATTATTTTAGCTCCGCAACCAATCAGATTGCAGCGTTATCCAGTAAGATCATGAAAGAGCGAATGGCAAAGCAAAAAGCGCGATCATAATAGTCCGCGCCATGCGTTTGTTGAGCTGACTGTGGCTCTATAGCAGTTAAGATGACGAGCTCGCTCACGCTGCCGCATACGTCCTTCAAAATATACCGCTACTATTTGTCGATTCGGAAGAATAGTTTTACGCTTAAGTCACACACGTGTAGCGTGCACGTCGACTATGGTCAACATAGTCGGCAGATACAACGGAAGAAAGACAATGCGAGGAGGAAAACGGCGGAAACTAGGAAAACTAAAGTGGAGAGGAGCGATCTTCTTTCCACAAGGGCTTTTTTCGTGCGCGCACTTTTCCCCCTCGCACTGTCTTTCTTATGTTGTGTGTGATCATAATAGAGAGCATGCTGGCGTGCCAGTGAACTTTCGACATCTTAAAACCCCGAGGGTATACTGCGGGTTCCCACTTTTGAGGGGTTATCACGTAGAAACGCGTTATGTCCGTGGTTCCGCAGAACGACGCATTTGTTGACATCAACGCCAAGACCCCCCGATAATGTCCTCGATAATGTCCGAAGAATCGGCGCTGCCTCAATGTGACAGGGTGACCGGTCGGACTCCACGCTGCCGATATAGGCAGATTCACGAAATGGGAAATAGCCTCAAAAGGAGCTCCTTGGAACAGGGAATCCATGACGAGAGCAGCCGGCCGTTGTTTTGGGCCGGCTTGCGTAGCCTGCCGGAAATGGACGTGCCCGTGTTTGACGCTAGTAGGTTCCTTCCCGAAGGCGCGGACGCGTTCAAACATTGAGGTCCCGAAGTGTGTGCTGGTGGCAAGTCATCCGAGAAGGTCTAGAGAGAGCCGTCCACAAGGGAATACCGCCTTGTCCAACATCTGGGACTTGTTCCGACATGGCAATGTCGGGGCGCGTCTCGGATTCCGCGTTCCGCGCATCCCCATCGGCCTGCCTGAGCTAGGCCTATAAGTATAGCGATAGGCATTCTAAACATTTATCACTATCACACATTATCCAATCAATTCAAAACCACGCCGCTCGCTTTATTATTTTCTTAAATTCAGAAATTCAGAAATGTGGGAAGCGATATATTTATATTGAAAGCAAAACCGCGAATGCAAAACGATATAGTACGTCTTGAATTAAGAATTTAATAAAAAATTATCCGGAAAACGAAAGAGATTATTTAGGGGAATGCATTTTCACTTGGGCTGCTTCGATTAAAAAAAGAAGACTGACGATTGATGACATTGAAATCTAAGTGGAGCGTACGCAGAGAAAATCGCTCTTTCTAAGAATATTTCGAGAGTTCGGGGGAACAATCAAATATTGTGTCAACCCTTGAAAACAAGAAATATAAAAAATTCAATCTGATTTGGTGATTCCGATATCGTTTTTGACGGTATTGCAGTCGCTGGCAATTTAAGAAATTGCATGTTTACGCTTCTTGCTCCGTAACGCGTTTTTCGGCTCTCTCAGCAGCCAGTTGCACCAGTTTCATTAGTTAGTGAGCAATATTAAGATGCCCAGGACCCCGCGCACCCTGCGGACTAAACCAGTTGATATTTTAGCTCCAAATTATGATCCGTAAGTTCCACTTCAGTAATACTGCAAATGATCTAATACGCATTTCACGAATCGTCACGCTGAATAAAACATGTAACACGTTGGTTTCATTATGTAAAAGTTTTACCTATGCCCACAATGATTTGAATTGCCCGAAAACTGTGACATTTCAAACTGTCACCACTCTAAATTACTGCATGCTGCCTGTATTCGCAACTCCAGCAAAACGGACGCCACCAAGCGGGAAAACCGAGAACCAGCCGGACCAGGTCGCTTTGCGTCCCTCCGCGTCTCTGGTGGTTTTCGCGGACACGTGTTGTCGGCGCAGTGGCAAGCCATGTATTTTGTCGAAGGTCAGAGAATTTCTTAAGTTTACCTGAGTGTTCATTAGTGTGGTGAAGCCCCAGTAGATTGTTTCTTTCCATCACATCTTTGAAAGCCCGTTTACTCCACAACACACGGTCGCGTGCTTTCGATTTCTTAGATGGGCCGAAATCACGGAAAAACGTTTTGATTTCTTGTCTGTCTTGAATCCCGTTGAAATTGACGACTTCTTGGTAACTGATCAGTGGTTTCTTTATAAGTATGTAGAACAGTGGACTGAGGACGAGAGACGAGGTGTTTCACTGGAGGGAACACCAATGTTGCAGTCAAGTGAATTGGAAGGTTCGATAGCTGGTTTTCTTGAGTTTGGCTGTGTTCGATTAGCTTCAAGTTTGAGCCTGCCACGCCGGTTGGTGCGTTGGCTATTCACCTTGGCTGCTTCTCGCCGAAAAAGCCCCTGGACCACACTGAAGGAGTTGGGCTGATTTTGCAATTACTTGATTCAGGAAAACCTGCTCGCTGCATACAATTAATGAGGGAAATTATCTGCTTTAAAAAGGTGGGGGACGCGTCTCGCAAAATTAGAAGCTGTCACGGCATTATCATCTATCGCGCCCCCAATATTTATATTAGACCCCCGTCGAAGCCAGCAGCAATATATGTCTACATTGCTCAGGTTGACCGGCCACAAAAAAAGACTCATTTTCTCCGTTCAGGATTCGAAGTGAAGTTCAATACAGAGAGGTTGTGCTTGAACCTCCGATGAAGACTCTTATCAGTGTGTCCATGTTCGTCTCCTTGCTGCCTGCTAGAACCATTTGGCTGAGTTTAAGTAGCATCTCTTTGTCTGTCAAATATACATTTATTCAGCAGTTCACTTAGGAACTAATCAACTAAGCTCATATTTCAACCCAAAGAATATACTAACATCGCTTTAGTGGGACATAGTACGTAATATAATAATACATAACCCGCTCGTCAAAAATACCTTGATTGCTTCTAAAACCTGAATTGAAATACGAGTATCAGCTGCTTAGTGGGGCGCCAGCGGGTTACCATGCTCCTTGGGTCAAGAAGCGCTTGCTTAATTTTTGTAATTTTCCTGCAGCCTGTTTTCCTGACCGAGCAGACGACTGGAGCTGTTTCTGAAACGCGGATACGCACAAAAGCTCGATTTCGCGGACAGATAAGTCGCATGATCGAGGCACGCGAATTAGCTGAAAATTACTCTCGGTGGAACAATTCTGTAGTCATCGCCGCTTTCCTTAGATGATCAAAACTGATTAGAGTCTATTACCGTCTCTCCGGAGCCCATAGTTTAGGTTTTGAACGAAATCTCTGAAACGGAAGTTTGACAGGAAAAGAACAAAAAACATCAGGAAAACAACACTGTGCTCTGCAAGTGTATGTGCACCGGCTGCACTTAATCGTCTCAGTTCAAATACCTAAAAAATTGGGCATTAAACAAAAGCAAATCTGTTAAATTGAACGCGCCACCCGTTCAGGCGGCCCGGCCGAGCCAACGCGACCTGGATCCAGCCACCAGGTTTGTTTGGTGGTGGCGTCCCCTATAAGTCGCTGGAGTCGCTTATAGTGTAACACCTCCGTGCGTGTGTAATACCACATTCAATTTGTCCCGAAGCTAAATATTTTTTTTTGTCTACACTGGCCGAGGTTGAGCCGTTTCGCGTGGCTCGCATAATGAGCAGTGCTCCGTGCTGCGCAAGCGCGAGGAGCAGTGACGTCACACGGTACATAGCTGGCGGGGCGGAGTCGCCGTCGCCGCGGTCTCCGCCGCCACCGCGCGCGCCTCGCCGGTCTGCGCAAGCGCGAGGAGCAGTGACGTCACACAGCGCACAGCTGGCGTGCCGGAGCCGCCGCCGCCGCGGGCTCCGCCGCCACCGCGCTCGCCTCGCCGGTCTTCGCATTCCAGAAGAGTGACGTCATAGCCGCGGCAGACGCACTGGAGTCGCTGCGTGTCCAGCTGTGTGTCTCCGTTGCGCAGTAGCTAAGTCTGACGCTGCACCGGAGCAGCTTCATAGCGCCTCTCATTTTGTGCGCATAAGCTCACGCTACGTATATCCTGGCATAGCCGAGCTAAGCCACCGTAATTTTTTTGTTTCCCTTCGCCGATATATAATAATAATAATAATCTTTATTGCCCTCCGATAATACAAAGGTTCTAACGGGTCCGTCAAAGCCTATAATGGCTTGTGTGAATATCAATGCAAGGGTGAAGTAATTTTAACGGCTATAACACTTGTCCATTCTGATTCTGTTTTACACAAAGCATGTTGATCGTCAACCTGGGCACTCAAAACTTATTGACCCCAACCTGTGTATTATTATTAATAATAATATTCTTGGTATATTATCCAACATAGTAGTACTATGGTTAGTTTGGCTTGTTGGTATACAACCTTAAAACAACAAGGATGAGTGAATCTCGTAGTGTCATATCAACAAGAGACCTCGTCTTTTATGCATTATCGTTTTAATTGTTTATTTGTAAAATCTTATTAAATTTTATTTAAAACAACTGTTGCCAAAGCAGCTTTTCCCTAGAGATCGAACTAGTGTACGTTGCTTCGGTTAAGCGAACACGCCTGTTGTTGGTATAACATGGGCGTCTAAGTACTCCCCAACATCAGTCGGTTTCCCAAACCCTCCCCCCCCCCCCCCCCAAACGCACTCTACTACTATATCGTGTTAAAATAATGCACTACCACACTACCGCAATATTGCACTATTGCGTGTTCCTGGAAATGAATTTTGGCAGTAGGTTCGTGTTGCAAAACTGTTCGATGGGGCACATGCAATACTATGCTTTTTGTAATCTAATATTGACTTTTGTGAAATTCATGTGCCAAAGAGGCATCAGGCGTCAGAACAAAAAGTCGAGACATATTCACGCAATGTAGCAGTCACGAACAGAGAAAGAAATGTTAAGGAAGGCCAAATTATTGATCATCTGAAATTAAGACTTCTGTTCAGTGAAAGAATGATGTCAACTCGGTGTAAGCGCCCAAGGCTTGGTTGTGTTGTTTTTAAAACGAATTTATACTCCGCCGCTTTTAATTTCGTGAAACGTTATGTACGCCAACCTCTACATTTTAACGAGTCTTAACCCTCATATGTCCTTTTTGGATTGTCAATCGATTAATGTTAGGAAAAAAGAAGCCTTATATTTAAGCTTTTTTTTTCAGCTCATTCCGTGACCTAATGAATTCCTCTTGTTTTGCGCAGGATCGGAAGGCTCACCAGGATTCCCTGGAAGTATGGGCCCACCAGGAACCAAGGGAGACTCCGGCTACCAGGGAAGACCCGGTCTCCAAGGCTTCCCCGTAAGAATGATTTCTTAAATACAGAGCGCTGAAAGATACGTGTAAAAATACTGGAGTCCTTTAAAGGGACACTGACAGGGTATTTACGCTCGCCAAGGTTTCTATTTGTACGCGACATATGGGAGCCCAACTACGCTACCCAGAACACAATTTTCGGCTCGAAATTCGTTTTTTTTTTCCACCCGAAAACTGCCGATCGAGAAGTGGCCGGTTCGAGTCGCGCTCACTTTATTATTTGTGGTCACGTGCCGTTTTCTATGATTTAGACACAACCACCAAAGATAATCAAAGCCACCGGTCATTAAAGGCACACACTCAACATTAAAAATAGACAAAAATATGATACCCATTTTTGTGGCTTCTAAAAAACTGCAAATTCGTTTGTTCGTTTGTTTGTTTGTTTGTTTGTTTTAATTGTACAGTCACGTGATTATCAGTAACTTCCCCCCTCCTCTATATATCTTCTTCCTCCAGTTTCGGTTTCGGTTTCGAGCAGTTGCGTTTTCTGACTTTATTAAAAATATACTTGATGCTGTAGCAAGATATTGATTGAGTAGTTTTCTGACACCATAATGGTCGCCTAAAAAAGATGTTTAAAAAGGGTTTTGTTGTTGTTTATGTTGTTGTTTTTTGTGTTGTTATTGTTGTTGTCGTTTTTTTTGGGGGGGGGGAGGCGAAGAGGGGGGGGCGTATCCTCCGTAATTTTGATGATCACCGATTTCTATAAAATTTTCACTATGTATTTGGGTGTCCTTCTTGAACATGTCTACAAAATATCTCGGCAAAATATTAATTTCTTAGAAGGAAATGAATATTCAAATTTACGCGTACACGCCCAAATCACTTGCTGCCGCTCTGCTGGCAACACTGAGGAAGAGCGGCGCACGGGGACTGCCATGATAGCACTGATGTTGCCGTGACGTCACATGCTGGTGATAATGCTTGCTTTGTAGCTTGTTGGTGCGGTCGACTGTCCGCTTTTTAGTGTACATAGTTTTCAGAGGCCCGCCACCTCTCCGGGCGCGCACGAGAGCACGCTTGGAAGTGGCAGACATAATTAAAAACAAAACAGCGCAAAGACGAGGACAAAGTAAAAGCTAACCGACAGGACACAGAGCGATGTCCCGCTACAGAAGCGTTGCTTGAAAACACCGTCTACTAAAACCGTCTATTGTCGGGCCCCAAGTATAACAAAAAGTGTTTCCAATTAAAAGGCATAACGTCGATCAGTTTTTCTCGGTGTGCTAGCAACAAAAGCTGCCTTACCATTCCGCGTCGGAAGCGGCATCTGGGTCCATATGGCAGCGGATCGCTAATGCAGACGCCGCTGGCGGTTTCCTCGGAGTCGATGTCGGCAGATCGTATGAGAATGGGTTATCGCCTAGGTTATCGACCCCCAAAGCTAGGAGCATATCCTAATTGTTGCTCAATTCAGACGAGCCTGATTAGTCTATTTTGATATGTGGCTCGAACGCAATACAGTTACCTGCTGCCAGGCCGGCCAGGCTCAAAGCGCACACACGCGAATGTTTATACCATATGTGACGTCACGTCAAAATGGCGGACCAGTAACTTGGTAAGTTAGTTTCGGTATCGGTTTCATCGTATTTTAACGGATATAAATTATGTCAACAGATTTATAATGGTTTAACCGCTGCTATAGGTCAAATGTTTAGTATTCTTTCCGAAATAATGTTTCGATAAAAACGCTAAAATTGTCGGCGGAGCTGCCCTTTAAGATCGACAGAGACTTTTATTCCTACAGAGGAAATGAAATATTCCATAAGCACAAGATTATGCTGCTTTTTCAAAGTATTCCCCGTGCGGGTCCAGACACCCCTGCCATCGTTTTCGTTCTTGGCAGCTCCTGATTCCTTTCGTCGTAGAAAGAACTGGGCTGCGTGACTAAAGTCGGACGAGCGTGTACGTCCGTATTCTTTTGTTATACCGGCTGTTGCACTACGCCGAACCGTCGACACCACTTTTTTCCCCTTATGTCCGTGACATCGATTGTTTCCTATACTGTGCTTGGAATCTGGAATTTCAGCTGGTGTAATTTTATCCTTGATTAGTATTATGCCACTGCTTCACAGCTACAGGCAGATTTCTAACCACCGTGGTAGTCGGAACTGCCGCGCATGCATCAAATGCGTAAATCTCAGCAGATAATATTTAAAAAAAAATAGATATATAACATTGACGTTTTTACAAGCTTATCGCGGTACACTTGTTCGGCGATCTCTGATCGACAAAAGTCCCGCTCAACCTTAAACTACCCTTGGAGAATTACGATACCGTATATGATATCTTCTACATGGAAGACATGTACGAATGATAGTAATCTTCTAGTAGCGCAGATAAATAACGATATCTAGAAAATTAAAAAATGAGTGGAACATTTTACATTCCCTACATTGACACCACTCGGGATCGGTTGAAACGCTCTTCTGAAGCGTCCTATATTGCTTTGTGGCGCAGCGTAAAACTCAGCCTCACCTCTTTTTGTTTAAAAACTATGTCGGTGTTACAACAGATATACTAGCACGACTATTTCGAGAACCTAGGCAGAATCCACCTCTATAACAATGCACTATGGTCGCTGGAAGCTTCAGAAACGTGGGCCAGGGCTTATTTTGTCCACCCTTCTTGCGTCATGATTGATTCTTTTCCTTTTTTTTTTTTATGGAATGGCAAAGATTGAAGTTTTTGGCACCTCTCAACTCGTGCATCGGCGACAGAGTACTTCCCAGTCACTTGTGCAGTGAGATCACTGCGGGTTCACGTAACTTCCTGTTGAGCTCTGTGACCTCTGTTTTTTGGCCCTCCAGCTCTCTTCCTGTGATTCTGAACTCCTTGTCAACCCTGTTCTCGACCAACGCGGCGCCATGGTGTGTCGGTTTCTGATACCACGCACCCCTGAGGGGTTTCTCGTCCGGTAGACGGTGCTAGAGGAGATTTTGGTTTACGAACAGTGGACTCGAGTTCGGGCACGATACACCGCACCCGGTAGGCATCGCCCGTGATCGCGGCGGACGATACGATGGTACGTTGAGAAACACGAGGAAATAAAAGTTCAGACTCTTCTCTGCTCTTCGAACAACCAAACTTCTAGACATCACTCGCAACGTAGCTGAAGCTTTATTCTATGTACAAATATTTACGCGAGTTGTGCTCTTGGCACAGAACGGGATATCGGCAGATCGTTGGGTCGACCAAGTAGTTCGGTCATCGCTTTCGCATTGGCTCATGATACTTCTTTTTCGTCGTCGTTAGTGCGCTCCCACGCACGCGGAAACAAGATGCTGTAACCCGGGAAGGACGGGGAGGGTGGCTGCGCAGCGGGCATGGTTTTGTTGACTTCCGGTTGATGGCGCCGGAACAATTTAACAAATTTTAGGGATAATAATAGACTTTTCGCGCATTGCTGTATGTTTACACATCAGGATTTAAAAAAAAAATGACCTTAAATTGAGCACAAAATTGCACAAATCGCTAACTTACAGATGACTTCCCCCAGAGTACGTCACACAGCAATTCCTGTAACCGCCGCACACGGCGGCAGATCGACAAATAATCCGATTTTTCTTTCGAGATTACGCAGCGGAATCGCTGTATTTCGGTGGAAGGATGCATGTTTTCGTTTACTTGTGGAATGATAAGCAATATATAAAATACAAACGGTAATTTGTTTTTAACCTTAAAATCGTCGCACTCCCCTTTAAAGCGTCAGCGACTGTGAACGGGCACACAAAAGTCACAATTTCACCGGCAGTTGATTTGTTTCGGGACAGTGTTCTCATTGCTCTACCGATTTCGACGCAGGGCATTCCTGGATCAGACGGCATTGATGGGCTGAAAGGCGAGAAAGGTTTTCCCGGAGAAGTGATCATCGACTACTATCCTCCAAACTCCATTAAGGGAGAGAGGGGTGATCCTGGTGCCGACGGTCAACGAGGGAGTCCCGGTCTAGAGGGCCTCCCAGGCCCAGACGGAGCGCCGGGTATCCCTGGTGGTGGCGGAGAGCCGGTGAGTGTTGCTTCTTGAGTATGCCGCTGTGGTGGCGCTGCAGTCGGCGCTGCGCATGCCCAGGCGCATCTTTCCACGCGAATCAGAGTCGTACATTTATCGACTTATTAAACGAGGGATGCAAACAAAGTATGCCTGAACGCAAGAAGGAAGTACACGCGTAACATGCCGTGAATTAATGAGGATTTGTGGATTGGGTTGAAGGGGGTACCACTTGGATGGACAACTTCAATTCTGCAAGTTTCCAAATGCTGTACAAACTACCGAATGAATTAAGGGTTTTGTGATAATTTTAAAGACGTCGAGAATGTTCCTTGAGAACAAAATTTTCTTCCAGAAACGCTTTTTCAGGAGCTCAGCAGTCGTTTCAAGTTCTCCCAACGAAAAAAACAAAAACAATTCGAATTGCTGCGGCTCATCCGCATACATATTTTCCCGTTTTATGAGTCTCTTATATCCATTCCTCATTAAGGGAGGGTTACGATCTTCTATAATTCCAAAAATATATTTCTTGAGAATGCACATTACACTGTAAGCCTGAATCCCCACTTTCCTAGCACTTACTCACTCCACAAAATTGTACAGTTAACCATCAATCTGTCCCTTGGTACAGATTGATGGCTTCTGTCCACCACTTATTGTCGCGCTTTCTCTCCCGTTCAAGCCGCCTGTATCCTGTAAATCATCAAATTACTGCTTTTCTAGAGGTGATTATTTGAGTCATAAGCGTATTTAACATTTTGACTCGGATAGTGTTCTTTCTACGTCCAATGTTGATCATGCTATATACCGAGACGCTTACGTCAGTCGTAAAAAGTGCTGTTGACAGATGTATACATAAATACTAATATAAGCTGTCGATATGTCCTACTTGGTTTTTAAGGCTTTACGAATGAGCCAACAGAAAAAATGTAATTTTCACCGACGTTTTGAGAATTGCAGCTCTTTTCTTTGTTATGCAAAGCGCAGCATATTTCGTTCTCTAGTAACAAAAAAAATATTTAGGCGTAATAAGCGTCTACACCAGGATAGTATAGAAAGCAGCTTGAATCGTCAACCAAAAACATTTTGGAAATTTGTGAAGCAGCAAATACGTGAGACCAGTCGTAGCATCTGTTAGCATGTTAGATCAGACAATGTTCCTAGTTGTCAGTCTTCACCTGCTGATGTTGCAAAAATTTTCGCTGATTACTTTAGCAAATGTTTTGCTGTACGCCAGCCATCTTTTCAACGTGGCGACGAACTGAGATACTGTTATGACTATTTATGTTCCGTGCATGTCTATTACGGTGTAAGTTGCTGATTAAAAGCTGAAACCTAAGTTTTCGAGTGGTGCGATAAAATACCCATTTTTTATCAAAGGCTGCAGTAAACAGTTTATTCCGATTCTGAAAGACATATTTAATAATTTACTCAGTTTTAACACCTTTCCATTACTTTCGAAGAAATCGGGGATTGTTCCGACCTTAAAGAGCGGTGATGCATCTCTTGTTTCAAATTATCTTCCAATTTCTCTGCTTTGTGGTTTCTCAAAGGTTTTCGAGCTTGTCATTGGTACTCGAATGTCTTTTTTGTTGTTGTTTTTTCGCCGGAAAATAACTTTTTTGCAGCATGGTTTCATGAGCGGTCGGTTTGTCGAGACTAATTTGTGTTCCTTTTTAGAATTTTCTGCGTCGATTGTTATGAATAGAGAACAAGTTGATTCAATATACTTCGATATGACTAACGCGTTTGACATCTGTTACTATTGCGTAAGCTGTTTTCATATGGAGTGCATCATGCGCTGTGTGAATGGTTTGACAGCTGTCTGTCGTTGCGCTCTAACACTGTTTGCGTTGATGACAGCTTATCCAAACTCAGAGGATAGTCCTGGGTCCATTTCAATACATTTCAAGATTGCCATGTCTCGCAAATGACGTGTCAAGCATTCTTCAATGGTGTAAAAAATCAATTATTGCTTAACCCCGCAAAAACAAAAGCTCTTTCCTGATGCCGACGGAACGATGATGTTGGCTTTACTTATTAGACACTTTTAGTTGGGCGTACGCAGGAAGCTTGCGTACGCAACCTTCGGTGCGTTGCGTACGCAGCAAGTGGAGCGTCCACGACACTTTTAGTTCGACGCGTTTGACGTGCGTTAGCGTTCTTCCAACTGATATAAAACAGACCCGCCGATCCTTTATTGTGCATTTTAGCGCCATCTAGTGCTAGAGGAAAGAACTGTTTTTTCAATCTTTCAAGTATTGACCGAAAGTAGCCAAGCCAAGCCGTAGGCTTAGCTGGTTCCTTCGTTCTGTTGTACGGTGATTTATCACAATGCCTCCAAGAAGTATCTTGTCAAACCCCCAAGTTGCCTCCATGCTGACGTGGGCTGAGATCGACGATCTTGTGACGCTAAACGTGCGACCGCAGTTACGCAGCTATTTCACGCTGGACGAGTTGGAATACAAGATGAGGTGCAGCAGGGAGTCCGAACTCCTCAGGTCGAACCGCCCGCGTACACTGCGATAGCTGAACGGCTTGCCGAGAACTGCCTTGAGCCTTACGGCTATTTCTTCCCATTGGTCCGGGTTCCTGAACGGATCACTGGCTTGCACTTCCAGCAGCAACGCTATATCCACTTTCAGCGTATAAAACACGCGATTTCCATTAGGAGCGGCGTCGTTTCCACAGCTGTTTCCCGTGGCAGCGGCCATCTTGAAATGCGCTCTCGTTCGTCCGAGATCTCGCGAGACCGTCCCGCAGTGACCTGCGGGACCCGCACGTAACTCCTGACTGCGTGCGTACGCACGCCGACAGCACAACGTTACGTTACGTTCTCCGCAGGCGCACTCGCGGCCCGCAACGTTCCTGCGTACGCAAGCTCGTTGCGTACGCCCAACTAAAAGTGTCTATTATCTTGAGGGATCGCCTATACAGCGTGTACCCCTCGTAAAGGATCTTGACGTGTGTATTGAGTGTGCTTTCACTTTCAAAAGTCATGTGTCTTCACTCATCGAAAATGCTTTTGAAGTACTAGGAATAATATTTCGCTTGACACGTAATTTTAAACAACCCCTTGCATTGATTTTTTTTTTATTCTTTTTAATTCCCTAGTGGGGTTAAGACTCGAGTTTGCTTCTGTTATATGGAACTCAATATTTAAGACAGACTATAACAATCGAAAATGCTCAGAAAAAGGTTATCCGAATTGTTTAATATAGATATTTTGAGAGGCCCTTTCCTTATACTTATGAACATATACCCCCAATTTTTTCACTTTCACTTCTGTATACCAGGAGATCTGCTCGAGACTTTCTTTTTCTGCACAAGGTTGCTGATGGTACATTTGATTCTCCGCAACTCCTTGAAAGGGTGACCTTTTATGTTCCTTCACGTCTAACCAGAAATTTTGTATACTTCTATGTTCACTCACCGTGCAATGCCTCATCTTTCTCTCTCGGATTCAGTCATTATATAACGCCATCGCTCCACCCCACGCTGATATATCTGCATCTTTTACAATGTACCGTCGCCATTTGGATAATCTCACATTTGTCTGACCAAAATAATCCCTGGAGAGGGGGAACAAGAGGGACAGAGGAAAAACACAAGTCTCCAAACACAGCTAGGTGACTGGTGCGCGACGAAAGAAATCCGCCTGGTCCGAATATCGAACCTGAGACCTCTCCATTTCCGGTGGAGCGCTCCACCTGAATGTATCGAATAATAAATCGGTTGGCGTTTCTTCAGGGCGACTACGGAGATCGCGGAGCTCCTGGTTTTGCCGGCCAAGAGGGCTTCCCCGGTCTATCCGGACAGAAGGGAGCGATGGGAGACGGTTTTGACGGCACGAAGGGACAGCGAGGTCCTCCGGGCTACGACGGAGAGGTCGGAGTGCCGGGCCAAGTGGGAGAAAGAGGTAACAACCAACAAACTATAAGTTCTCAGCAGAACAAACCATTAATGTTAGGTTTAATTAGCTGCCTCATTGTTGTGAAGAAGTAGAGCTACTGGTCGAATAAACCCAACTATACTATAGTATAAGCGTCACCATTACAGTTTAGCGACCTACGCATGACACAGTAAAGTCTGGTGAGTGATTTTTTTTTACCCTAAGAGGTACTCTTTTAATTTATATACCGTAATAACTAAATTCTATATTTGTTAGTGTTAGGTTATACACATGTTAACTAGCCTCTGTATGGAATGTATTATCTCTCACCTCTAGGGGCGACTTAGTTATGCACTTCGTAAATACGAACAATCTGTGGAGACCAAAGGGCATTAATTATATTCATAAAGTTCTTACTAACCAAGAAAACGATAAAAATCATAGACATATGAATTTGTGAACTGTGTCGGTATCCGGCAAGGTATGTTGCTACGTTTCTGTTTTTTTTTTTTTTCAAGGCAAAATTGGTGATTGTAACTGTTCGTAGCCGTTTCGCCGCAACTTCTTCGGTGATTATCACAAGCTTTTTTTGTTAATTCCAGAAATAAAAGAGTTATATGTATAATGAAGTCAAGCGATGAGGTCAAGATTTTTTACTAAAATGTCCCCCCCCCCCCCCCCCATACAGAGGCGCCAACTGATACCCTATTTCAGTTTATTAATTTTTACTTGACGTAGATTGTTGCTACTTTGGGTATCGGGCAAAAAAAAGAAAAAAAGATTGTAAACCGTTTTATCGAGACTCCTTACGCTACAGGTGACCCCGGAACCCCCTTCACACCGGAACAGTTATTGGAAGCGACCGGGCCTCCAGGCCCACCTGGTGAGGCTGGCCGAAACGGCCTCGAAGGGCCTCCAGGTAAGCAAAACAAAGTTCGGCCCTTCTGCGACATTTGGCGCTGCAACGTGCCATCTCGTACGATTACGAGAAAATGAACTTGGAATGTGGCGCAGTTGCGAGCTTTAGTAAGCTATTAAATGATAAGTTAAGATAAATATTTACCTGCCATTGTTTTGAGGCAGTACGTAGGTCATCATAATTGTAGTCCAGTCAGCAGACCTTGCCATAAGCCGGCAGAACTTTATGTAGGAAAATGTGGCTTCGCGTCCTAAAGCTTCTCGCAATCGTCAAGCGTGTTAATTATAGAACGAGTGGAACCGTGTTTGGAGTTCTTTGAAATAGGAACAATCGTCACAAACGAATAAATCTTCTTTCTTCTAACAGAAGTACTAAATTGATGACATTGAAAAGTGGCTGTATCGCAATTACAGATCTACGGAGATAACTTAAACATATGTCAATGCGTTTAACGAAAGTGACAGTAGTCTAATCTGCCTTAGCTGTGAAAATTGCCATCATTAGATCAAAGGTGCGCTATTTGTTCTCAAGTCATTGCAATTTCAATAAACTCTATCGCTATTTTTATTTTAAGGACCACCGGGAAAACCTGGATTTGATGGGCGTCCCGGAGTTCAAGGAGATAAGGGAGATCACGGGAGTCATGGCTACTCTCAGCAAGGTCCGACAGGACTGAAAGGCTACCCCGGTCTCTCTGGTGACCAGGGTCCTACAGGCAGACCTGGGGGAAGAGGACGACCTGGTGAAATTGGTCTGGAAGGACGCCCAGGTCCAAAGGTACGACACTTTGTAATCTATTGCGACTCGCAGTAGAAGGGTTACTAATGCGCCGATCATGTCGGACTTTGGATTTCTGACCGATACCAATCAGCGCAGCACCACTGCTCCGGTTGAAACGCATTTGAGTTGTCACTGTTTGAACCTTGTTACAGTCAGAGAAGTATCTCCATCTGACTAATTTCATTCATTACTTCAGAGAGGAATTTTTCGATTAGTAAAATGTAGAAACAATGAGTGTCGACAAAATCATTGCACGAAGTTAGAGCACAAGTTGTCGTCTTGTGTCTCGTTTTTATATACGTGTAGTACAGGGTTTGCTGCTTCAAATAGGTTTAGAAAACTTGTGCTTTACTCCAAGTACATTCTCTAAGCACGTAATTGTACTCTACGTGAAGTATTTTTTCTGTTACTTTTCGAGGAAAGTCAATATACGACTTCAGAGTACATCTCTCAAATTTGGTCCCGTTTAGTTTGTACCACAAAATGATGCTTTTTCAACCAATAAGTGCCTTTTAAGTTACAGTTCGTCAGCGAGAGTAAAAGAACCACTTTGTGGCCACTTGACCTCCATTCAATATTCACCACCCTTTCAGAAAATAACTGAGCACCCCCGATTACCCAAAAAACAATGCACATCAGTTCAAAAAAAAACACTGTATAGGGGAATAAAATGGCAAGATAGTGTTAAAAATGCTTGTAGTGTGGTTTGAAAGTACATTTTATTTAGAGTACTCTATTTAGAGTGCATTGCACCCGGTGTACTTAATTTTTTACTTGCAGTACATGACCTCTCATTTACTTTGTTTACTTTATACTTGAAATATACGTCTTAGATGTACTTTGCCCAACACTGACGGGAAGTCCCAAACAAAGATACGGGCCCATCTTGTGAGATAAGCTGTCATAATACATTACAGTCAACGACAGCTAGCGATACGCAGGGTGTGACGAGCACCCAGCATCACATTGTCGCTCCGTGGCCATTCATATATCGGCATTGGTGATTGGCACCAGACGTATGATCCAATGCAGCCAATCAGGCGGCGCGAAACGTGCAAGCTGTTACCGGCTGAACCAATCAGGCGCGAAAAGAATACCCTGTACGTGATTGGTTTAGTCGTTGATAGCAAACACACAAAAGGGATGAGCGTGCCGCGACTATGCACTTTAGGTGCTGCTTGATTGGAAACCTTATAGGATGGTATCGTCGTTTGCGGTCGGATTTAAAAGTGAAACGAACTGTGAATTACTCACTGACGGGTACGATAATGAGTTAGGGTACGGTAACGAGCCTCTTGAATCGATTAGCCCCTATGGATCTTGATAATGTGGATGCTTGGGCTAGTTGGTATAATTCATTGATTCCACGCGGTAATTCATACCCCGTTCACCCGCCAGGGTCAACGTGGTATCCCTGGGACAGGAAAAGGCACCGGCCCGCCAGGCCCCCCGGGATTGCCTGGAAACAGAGGACAGCGTGGATTTCCCGGCCCCGCGGGAGCTCCCGGTGTTGCGGGACCTCCGGGATACTCTGGTTCCAAGGGCCAGAAGGGCAAGTGCATTCATCCGAGGTTTATTAATACGAAAGCATGCGAAAGCAAAACTCTCTTATGCACTCTAACAAAAAGCCCGTGCGTCTTCTTTCCCACATAACACGCGGACCGCCAATCGCGGAATCAGCTCAGCAAATGACAATGCCGAAACATATGTTTAGACCAAAAAGCCAAGTCTGCAATGTAGCATCAAACAATGCAAGCGTGACGTTTTCAATTGCTTAATGCTGCATCGCAGACTTCGCTTTTTGATCTAAACATATGTTTGGGCATTGTAATTCGCTGAGCTGATTCCGCAAACAGCAGTGATTGGCGGTCCGCGTGTTCTCCGGGAAAGAAAACGCACGGCCTTTTTAAGAGTGTGGAGCGAAATCGGCGGTGTCTGTAACCGCGAAAAACGCTACCTAAATTCCCATTCTCCCATTGGCTGAGCGAAACGGCACCTTAAGAGCCATTGGCTGCGACGCCTCCTAGTTTCAAGGAACGCCACCCCACAGAGAAGCCCTCTCCTGGCGCTGCGGCCCGCGCGCAGGTAAAAAGGAGAGGGTGGTGCGTGCGGCCACCTCTTTCTCACCCCGTTTGGGTCACGTGTCAGGTGGTCAGGCTTGGCCGGAGGGGGAGAGGGAGCCGGAAATTCCCTCTCCTTCTCCCTCTCTCTGTGCACTACTGTATCACGTGTTTTACGCTCTGCTTCCAGCCATGTCGCGCCGCGCGGCCGGCCTCTACGGAAGACAGCGGGGCGTGCTGTTTGTAGGAATGATCTGCGTGTTTAAATGCTTTTGCATTTAAACACGCAGATCATTCTGCGTGGAAATTTGCAGACCGCATCAATAATCCTTTCTGAACTGACAACCAAATTATTTTTTAAAAATTAAAATTTTCCGTGAAGTTATTAAATTTTCAAGTTACACCGGCCGCGAAGGTTCCAGGAGGCGACTGTCTACTGGACACTGAAAAATCGTTACTTTTCCCGACCCGCGTACGTCACGGGTGGGCAGGCGGACGAGCGACTTGGGCAGCCGCGAAGTGGCTTTCGGGGCGCTAGCGATCGAGATTATTTTTTCGCCACTTCAAGGTTGAAAGTTCCTTTGCAATAGGTAGCAATTTGTGCTTCGCGATTGATATTAGAAACAGTGCCGGGAAAAGCTTCTTTTATACTCTTGTTTTCGTGGGAGAAAAAAATTGCGTTCCCCGGCAGCAAAGGAGACCCGCCACGTCAAGGTGCTTTTGCGCAAGCTGTGTGCCGTGGGAGCTACTGCCACGTGAAACATTTTCACTTTTGCTCGGAATACTTTATAGCCGCGTGCTGCGAGCCGAGTATCCTTCAGCAGCTGGAACAGCTTCAAGAGCGGAGAGTGCAAACTCAAGCCGGCTGTGACCACTATGACATCCGTCCAAAGAAGAGCGCTAATAATATCGAGAAAAATAGTACACAATCTTGCACTATAGTCGAAGTTTTGTCACAGTCACATTTGTTATTCAAATTAGTTCAGTTTTTTTTTTTATATAAACACTATTTTTGTTTGGACGTCGGATCTAGCTCGGACTACTCTCGGAGTTCCACTCACGCGGCCGATATGTTGAAGACGAGAAATGAAACGTCTAAACAAAGTTCCTGAATTTAGACATGACTTTCGACATATTGCTGTTCCTGTCTGCTACTACAGAGATTTATGGAGAAGGTGTTGAGCTCCATTAATATACGATAGAGCCTTTGCCTGGTTTGTCAAATGGTTGGCATGTAATATTCTCTGCAGACAAAGTGATGAAAACATTGTTAATTTATTCTATTGCGGAGATATTTTATATAAGGCTGAAGTTGTTTTTTTGTTTTTTTTAACCATGAAAATATTGATGTCGTTGAACGGAGGCATGCAAATTTACAGCTGATGGAAACTGTGCTAAACCAAAACTTAATTTTAAAAACTTTTTTATATAGAATTACTTCCTTCCCACGTGCTCTCGTGAATGAGCGTTTGAACGCGTTGTATTCTACTCCAAAAGATAATAAAATGCGGGTACACGTTTTTTTAGTAACTTTTGTTAACTTATTTTTAATTAAAAGTTTTATGATGTCTTTCTGTACCTTATGCACTATTGTATCTTCAAGCAAATATTCTTTATTTGAAGATGAACAGTGTATTTGTGTATTTTATGCGCATTCAACTGCACCTTGATGTTTGGCTTGGTGGTTACAGAGTGCTTTTAATTGTCATTTTAACACAATCTTCATGACCAGTAACCTGCCATCTGATCTACATGAATGCAGTTCATTCCATTCTATACACTTCATTGTTTACGAGAATCACAGTCTACATGTGTTAAGTCCCAGCCAAGCACGCACATGTTTGTCGCTTTGGAAGGCGAGCAATGTACGCGGCACACGTACGAACGCTGACGATGGCATCAACCAGGAGCGCTTTTCAGAAATGGTCTATAGATCTTTTGCTAAATTACTTAAGCACCAAGGAGTATATTCATGCAACAAGAGTAGCTACACGTGCTGGCGCCTGCAACAGTTACTTTTCTAAAGAAAATCTAAAACAAATGGCACGTTCCTTCAAGTTATACGAGCGTGTGGGGCATCTGTATCCACATTCTGAGCATGTTCCATGGTGATTTGGCAATTTGTCAAAAAATGTATTGCGTGACTCTTCGACCTTTCTTCGCCAGCCATCTCCTAATAAAAAGAGAACGGATTTACTAGCGATATCATGAAACTACCGAGCCGCGGCTTGATTGTACCGAGTTGCAAAAACGGTTTTCTCAAAATTCCAATTGCTCCCTTTTTTTTTTACTTTTTCGTAGTTGAGCACATAGGCCAAGGTCATACATACTTTGTGCAAATATAGATAATGATCAACTTCCAGTAGCACGAACGCTCAGATTTTCTCGCTGTTAGACGCGAGAAAGGCGGGCGCGAGCGTACCCGATTGCCGGCCGCGCGCCTCACTGCCCCCCCCCCCCCCCCCCCCCGTGACGTCACGCTTGGGTGGCGGAAAAAGCTGGGGAAAAACCAGGGAGAACGATGTTTCGGTTGCGGCAGCAAACAAAATATCGCTTTTTGATTAACTAGAGTGAATCTGGGAGAACGAGATAACATTTCGGAATCAGGAAGCCATCCACATTCAGATTGTGACTTTGGATTAGGTAGCTCCAAAAATCGGCGAAGTTCCTCCTGTAATTTTTGAATTGGCGGTCAGGTCGTTGCTCTTTTTTTTTCTTCACGTAAGTGCGCAACTTCTCGGATCTTCTAGGAGGATGTGTGGCAGTCAATAAGCATGTTGGTGCCCAATTAGCGAACTGGTGAAGCCGTATGCTTACAGTCCGCGACACTGTTGGCGCGAACAAGGCTTCGCCACCTTTTTGCATAATACTTCGAATAAGTACTGGCGGTCCTCCAAATTTACCACTTAGGTTGGAATTCCGACTGAGTTCTTTCTATCAGTATGGTAGTTTTTATGACAGTTCTTCAATAACGAGAGAAAAACGGAGGGAATCGGCGATGGCTTCTTCGCGCGCTAACAGTGTCGTGGAATGTGGTAATCACCCTTGTTAATAACGCGGGAGCGTGCGTCTTTCTCCAGCGAGCACTTATGGTGAATTCGGGGGGTCGCCTCTCTCCCCTGACCTCGATTCGGCAGAGCGCCCCCTCCTTGCCGCCAGAGCTACTCGGGATTCTTTTCAGCCGATTACAACTGCTGGCTTCAGAGCGCTCCGAAATTTTCAGACCAGTCACGGAATTAAAATTTCTTGCCATTGGTAATGCATTAAATACAGCACGATCTTCCAGCGTACGGTGGACGATTGAGCAAAATTTACGCCCGCAACGTGATGAAATAACGGTTGTGACGTAAATTGTTTTACGCACCGGCATGTAAAAAAAAAAGAGATCAGCAGTATGCGAATTGATTTTTGCAGAACGGAATGAAAGCCAAGGCTTGGAAACAGTTGTCAACTCATCGCTTTTTCGACAGTGAACGCGCTGCGATAGTGGTCATGCGTACGACAGAGCAGGCAAATATAAAATGGTTAATAAACCGCATTTTTCTCACGGCGAAATATCGTGCCAGCATTGCAATGTGACACAGATCACAGTGCATTATATATGGCTCTCCCTTTATTTTACAACACAAACTTTTGAACGCATTTTCAACAAACCTCAAAATTTCTTGGAGCGACCACAAAACTTGGTAAAACAGCGTCGAGCTCTACGAGCTGTTTCGTCGTCGGTTAGGCTTAGCGGATTCACCGCCGTGAAATGAACGATCTCGTGAAAGCCCTGGGAATACTTCACACGTCGACCTTTCCTGTTACAGTCGCAAACGAATGTCGTCCCGTCCGTTGTAATTCCGCACTGTCGAATGCACAAGCACTTTGTAAAACCACCTATCAATCGCAGTCATGCCCTACCCCCGCACACCACCACAGACCACTGCCGGTCATCGTCAACAAAACCACGTGATCCCCGTCCAAGTACCACGTGACGCCTGTACCGCTCCGCACTCCGACGGCTACAGTCGGAGTGCCAGGGAGCGCTCTGAGAGGGAGAGGCGCCCTCGGCGCGCTCTCGAGAGCGCTCGAGAGCGCGCAGAAAAAACCACGCGGATTCGCCATTAGCTCCACCAGTCAAGCGCTCCGGCGAGCGCTCGAATGGTATATAGCATTCGCGGCAACTACTCTAGTCACGTCGGACAACATGGTATAACGCGCTCGAGGGGTTTCCTTCCATTTCCATCGGGGGCCGCCAAACGCGAAAGGCTGTAATCACGTTTTGCGCCTGCTTTGGTCCTATCGGCTGCACGCTATCCTGCTCATATCAACAGTTCGCTTTTTCTTTATTGGGACGTTGTTGACAAAGCTTCGGGTTTTATTTTTTTACTTTTTTTTTCAGTTAATAAGACGTTATGACGTTTGCAAGAGCATGACAACAGCCTCTCGCGGTGGGCGGCCCGGCAGTCCCCGATAGAGTGGGCAGGAGATCTGGGACACCCCTCGAGCGGGCTATTCCATGCCCTTCCCCCTTCCCCCATGATTAGTCTCGTTGCCGAGAATATCATCAGCCAAGCACTCGCCGGAGAAAGGAGTGCGCCCCCAGGTTACGGACATGCGTGATTACCACAGTACAGAAGGCAATCCAGACAGGATCCCAGATGTGTAAGCCTGAATTGGTATCCAATTGATGGTGTCTGATCATTTACGCGTACTCGTACTATATCCTGCAATGCATTTTGAAAAGTGTCGCCTATTACACCGAATTATAACATAAATATGGACATTTCTTAGTATCATGTAATAGGCCTATTGGTATATTCCCCAAGCATCAAAGAGAATGCAGGGATTGATGTTCCACGCGCCGCACGTGCTGGCCTCACTAGTAATAAATTTTCTAAAGCAAATATCTAAAACAAATTCCGTCTTGTACGCGCGTTCGTCAGCGCTTTATTTTGGTTATTTACTTCGAATCTTTTATATGGGGAAGGTGTGCGCGAGTGGCGCGTGGAGCACCAATCCCTGCATTCTCCTTGATGCTTGGGTAATATAGCAAATTGTCTATTATAATGTTAAAAAAGTGAATATATCTTTAGTAAAATAGCAATTCTGTAATTTCAGATACCCTTATTTGCAACGAAAGTAGCTTTACAACACTTTCATTCTTGGAGAATTTCATCATAATTTTGTACAGGCGTATTTCTAGGAAAGCTTTATAGAAGGTAATTTGTTGGACAATTTATGCTGTGATATTGTGCTAACTTTAGAGCACCTGTGTTAAAATCAGACATATGCTTTTTTAATTCAGACCTACGTTACTTTATACCGTTTTATATTTAAATAGAAAGAGAGATTTAGGCCACAAAAGGGTGCACTCTTGTAGGAGAACCAGGCTACACGGGATTTGATGGACCCAAGGGCATCAAGGGCGACAGAGGAGACGCTGGGCCAGGAACGTATGGTCTCCCTGGACTGCCTGGTTATGCTGGAGAGAAAGGTATGAACCAAACCTATATAACTTCATTTACTCAGATATTTTCGAAGGTAAAAAGAACGATGACATTCGGTAAACATGATACGTTGAACGTGAGCATTGGCAGAAATCTGTTTAGTAGAGGTGAACAATAATTAAAAAGGACGTCCAACCAAGCCCTAGATAGGGACCCAACGTTTCAAGTTCTACTCGGCCTTTTCTTCAGGGCTGCTATGGCTATGGCCATCGAGGAGTAGTTTCGTTTCAGTCTTTACAAAACGTGTTTCCAAACTAAGTAAGGGCGAAAATGAGACTAGTCATTTGATGTGAAAAGTCTCACAGAAGGTTAACGCGTAAAACCAAAAGAAAAAAAAAAAGTTTTTGTTCAATAAACGAATACATTTCCTTACAGTCGTACGTAAGAGACCTACTTCAATAGGAGCATACTCAAAACTGAAATGAATAACAAAACCAGCCAAACTGAGATTTCTCAAAAAACAACAAAAACCAGATCTTGGTCGTTTATTTATATTTAATTACGGCACAATTTTCATAGACCTGATTGTGACGATGTTTTTGTGATCGCCCAATCAACAGGTGAAAGAGGGGACAAGGGATCCCGTGGATCGGATGGCTTCCCTGGCACTCCTGGCGATAAAGGGTTACCCGGAGACGACGGGTTACCCGGTGCACGAGGTCGCGACGGTATTCCAGGAAGGCAGGGACAGCCAGGAACCCCAGGAAGAGACGGGTTCCCGGGAATACCTGGTGGGTTTTTTGTTTTGTATCGTGCAAACATTTTGAAAAAAATCTTTTTTTTTTTTTCGCGTTATGCTAGTGTAACAGATGTCTACGCCCAGAAATTACAAAAATCTTTTTTCAACGTTGCCAACAACTACCCCTTTTTTGTGTGTGTGCATTCGGTGTCGTCGATGGTGGACGTATTTTATCTGACAAGAGAAAACGCTGGCCCATAACTACAGTCACTGATTGAATTTCTATAGCACTGAATCTCGTAAATTTAGCGCTGTGAAGGACGATAAGCTTGGAACAATTATATGAAACAATTTAATTAAACAAAAAGTGAAACGAATGGATACAACTCCCGTGACATCGTATCACGACATCATATTAAAAAAGTACAGCTTTTCATATCATGAACCATCGGTTAAACTGTATAAATCTTTTTTTTTAATTTTGTGTGGCATCTGTGATTTTGATGTAATGACATTATCTCTTATACTTCAAGCTTCTCCTGTGTCCTGAAAATCAAGCAAAGCTTCATGTGATAGTGGCATTATAATAGTTCTATCTTGTCTGTGTCATGAGCATACATCTGTTGCTTTATTTGGTTTTGATAGGTGTAATTTTATAGATTATCGTACCATCTTGAACTAATCTGTCTTATTTAATTTAGTTGTCTCATCCTGACTTAATGCATTTAATTTTTTTAATTGTTTTCCCGCCATAACTAAAGAGGCGAAGGTGCACCGACACAAAGGCTCGGTAGTTTTTTTGGCATATCTAAAGTAAAGAATCAAGCAGTCAGCCCGTGACTGCACACGAGGTAATGCGCAATAATTTGCATATGTTGTCTCGTCAATTTAAGGTATACATGCATTTGAGATTGTTAAATACAATGTGTCGTTCGCGTTTCTATCTTTCAACATCTTTTAGGAGAGAAGGGAGAAATTGGTGACCAGGGTCAACCAGGCCTTGATGGATTCCCCGGTGAATCTGGTTTCCCCGGATTCCCTGGACTCAAAGGTACATTTACACATTCTACCTCTGTGCCTCTATAGCCTGTGGGGTGTAGGGGACCTTCACTCTAAGAAATGCCTGGGCGTGTACTTACCTACAAAACACTCAAAGAGCCAATCTCTGCAATCTAGGAACTAAGTTCAGCGAATGGTTAGGCGGAACATCTGTTCAGACCTAAAAATGAAGTCTGCGCTATGGCATTACGCATTGCAAAGCGTCATGCTTGCATTGTGTAATGCCACAGCGCAGACGTCATTTTGAGGTCTAAGCAGATGTTCCGCCTCATCATGTGCTGAGCTGATTTCCTAAATCGCAGAGATTGGCTCTTCGAGTGCTTTGCGGGTAATTTAGAGTGTTGTGTGTTAACGCACCGCAGCTCGCAGTGCGTACAGAGCCGAAGCTCGTGCTCCAGAACCCAGGGATCCAGAGTTCAGTTCCTACCCCTGCCCGTTTTGAGCTGGACGATTTTCGTACCTACGTATGGTCGTGTATGACTACTGCATGCTGCACGTTAAAGACCCCAGACTAACAGGGGTGCTGCATTGATAAACTTTTTATTTACAGCTGAGTCGCGAGACGCCCACTGACTTCCGGCTGTTTAAACATACACAAAATATTTGCAATTACTGAAATTTACGACACTGGTGACTTTAACAGCCTTGATCGCACCGGTACGACCGCGATATCAATGTATTTTTTTTTTTTTTTTAACAGGAGACAAGGGCAATGCAGGAAGGTCAGGGTTTCCAGGACTCCCCGGGAGGCCGGGAGCGGCGGGAGAACGTGGCAATGCAGGATATCCCGGTCTACCTGGACAGAGGGGAGACAGGGCCACGCAAGGTGGTCGGGGAGATGATGGGGCACCGGGTGAAGAAGGTAAATACTATTGCATGGTTTTCGACCTACATTCGTTCCCTCAATTTACACTACTTTAGTTGTTCTCGATGTTCTGCGGCCTTAAACGTTTGGTAAGCGTTTTGTATAAAAAATAAACAATTTTCTTTTACTTTTTGAGGGAAGGATAGTTCAAATTTATTACTTATTCATCACATTTAGCTATGTGTACCGGAATTTGGCTTTCATTTTTTACACGCTTAATGACAAGTTTTAAATACACCGTTTAAAACTATGTTATGCTTGGAAGTTGTTTAGGCTCCGGACAGAAATCAACTTTTTAAGAGGGTTCAAAAAGAAAATGTAATCTTTATCGGCAAACAGAATAATCGCTGCATCGCTAATACAATGTACAGTATATTTTGTAAAGAAAAAAAAAAGCAGAAGAGCTCATAGGATTGAAGAAGAAAACACGAAAGTAGCCGATCACTACGGCGCTGCTCCTGAGATAACCATAGAACAACGACTCCCCTCCAGCCGAAGACGAGGGCGCAGATGAACCCCGGCACTTTTCGAGGCCGGAGGCAGTCGTTGAAGCGTTTTCTGGTTCAGAAGACTAAGCTCCGAGTGCACACAGTCTGCCGATGGTTTAACTATCCTTACCGCTAACGCCAAACGCTGAACTTCGCATAATAGCCAATTCAGTGGACGGACGAGGTCCGATCGTGCAGGAGTGCTCTCGAATGGTGGGTGCAATCATAACGGAACGACCAAATCGTACCTTCCATCCCAGTTATAAAGTTGGTCAAGCCACAAAGTACGGTGGTGCCAATAGGTATAATCTAAACTCAAACCTACCGCTTTGCATTAGCCTAATATATTTGTCTTTGAAGACCCTAAGAAACTTCCGATGGTAGCGGTGGTGTCGCTTTTCCCTACAAGACTTAATATGTTGCTTGTTATAAAAACAAAAAAACGAACTACCCCCCCTCTTTCATCCGATGGCATCGCTATCATCTCAAAGAATGGCTGTCAGTTATTAATGGGAATTAATATAGATATTGAAATTACTGCATTATTTTTTTATAAGACCGTTTTCTTTTGTAATTTTCAGGACTCGAGGGACAACCCGGACAACCGGGATTCCCTGGTCTTCCTGGTCCGAAGGGTCTTGCTGGAGAGCCTGGAAGAGCTCTTGATGCTCCAGAGGGTCCTAAGGGCGAGAAAGGACAGTCTGGATACCCAGGACGAAATGGACTACCAGGTTTCAAAGGAGAAATGGGTGACATGGGAAGAGAAGGTGAAACAATTTTTAATTATTCACTCTATTCAGGCATTGTCTGCAATCCACCGAGAAGAGTAATGCCGAATTCCGCCACTGCATTCTACAAGATTGTTAGACCCAGCACTGTCCTTGACCCACTCTGAAGCATGACACTAACTTCCAAAAGATAGCCCGCACAAAATCTGACTCATCAAACTTTCACAATGGCGAATGGTTATGATCTATTATATTATGCAGTACATGTTTAAAATTTTATGAAGCAAAGGCTTAACCTTTTTATTTGATACCCGTAGTAATTTATGTACACTTCGTTAAACATGGTGGCTGAGTTAAAAATACGAGTAATCTCTCCTAAAGTGATTTTTGCATGACAAAAATGTAAATACTGTTTCATTACATGGATTAGCAACTATATTAGAAAGAAGAACTAGAAACCTATTTATAGAAATATGCCCATGGGTTTTTGAATTAAAAATATATTTTCTTAATTGCAATCATTCACCCCAGAAAATATACAAGGTGTACGCTCGCATTCTCATTTATTTGTCTGATGTATTAGAAGAAACGAAAAAGACACACGATGACGAAGTTGACACTCGAAGAAAGATCAAGTTGCAATATCTGCGAGTTTATTACTCACCAGCATCACTATCCGGGTGATTGCAATGCGCAACGCAGAAGCAAAAGGCGCCTTCAGTCGGAAAAAAGGCACAAATTATCATGTGGATTGCTAAGTATAAATTAGTCATTATGGTGCAGCATTTGTTCTGGCGGACGCATTCAATAAATTTACCTGACAATAATACTTTCAATGACTGCTATGACAAACTTTTGGAGTCTGGTGGCGCACAAAGACGCAAAAAGAACCTTGAAATAGTTGTTAGACAAAAAAAGTTAGACGAAGAACAGAAATTTGCATAATCAATGTTAAGTAATATGAACGAAAAGTTATGAAATAGAAGCATGTATTAACACCAGTTAATTAATCTGAAAATATAAATAAAACTTCCTTGCCAGGACCGAAGGGCATATCCGGTGAGGAAGGATTTCCTGGAGCCCCCGGATTTGATGGTCGTCCTGGAGTTCCTGGATTGCCTGGAATTGAAGGAGAAGATGGAAGGCCAGGTTTTCCAGGCGTACCCGGAATCAAGGCAAGTTGTAGCCTAAGTTACTAACTCAAGACCTTCTCTTTACTTTCCACACAAATTAGTCTTGACGGCACCTGTGACCTTACAAGTCACGCGAAGGTCCCTGCAAAGCATTCGACAGTAGAGTGCGGCCTTAGTGCCCCCCCCCCTTCCCTTGCCTGTGCAAGTATCGCTAAAAAATCTAATCGTGTTGAGATAATTTAAGTGCATGCCAAACACTTTGCAAGAGGGCATTGTATTGTATGTACCTTCACTAGTACTGTGGCGAAGTAGCGTGGGTTGTTGAACAGTCCGACCATCACACAGCCGACATGGGCGTCAAGAATTCCTGCCATCATAGATGGCAGTCACAGGCTCACACGAATGCCAACAAGATATGTGATATCCTGAAGAGCTTTTCGAATTGTATAACAAAAGGACCTTTCATGAGAAATTTCTTATAATGATTTTTGGTATTGTTTGGGCTATGCCAATTAATATGTCGTATGTCTTATTTATACACCGACAGCACACATTCAGGTTATCTTAGAGTGCAATGCTCGGTGAAAAATGACGCAGTGAAAAAATGCATCATTTTGAGTAGCTTTCGATTAAGGAACATTCAGAAGATTTACTTATTTATTTGGCTAAATATATAGATGTCGCGAAATGTACTATGGTTTATACAATATTTCGCTCTAGTAATATTTATAATGTTTTTATGTTCATCAAACCCTGTTTTTCATGGAGATAGGGCTGTTAACTTACAGCCCTATCTCCAAATAAAAACTAAATTATACGCAACTTTACCAAAATACATGCAGCCTTGACAACCATAACTAAGTGCCACTTTAATTTGCCCCCTTTAAAAATGTTATTTTTATATGGATTATTGTAGGATGAATAGGACTTTAATTTCGGCGTGATGTTGCAATACGCCAAAATTGAAATTTTGTATATAATTTTGTATTACAATAAATACCAGATTGAAATCTGAGGGTGAACAGTCGACATCATTAATCGGAAAGTTTAAAATATGTAGAACATGCAAAACCTGCGGTATACAGTAATATTACCATGTTCGGCGCCCAGAAAGTCAATAATAAATTAAAAATGTAATAATACTAATGCTAATATTAATCATAATAATAATAGAAAGAGACATTGAATATCCGAAATTTAATTAGGGTTAGTTTTTTTTAAGTATTTGTTGATGCGTTGTAAGATCTGCTCCGCGCCCCATCGATCCTTTCTGAAATTTAACTCTTAATTGAACTTGGTTTAGACTTTTTTTTCGTGCAGTTATACATAAATAGTTTGGGATGCTGGAAACGTGATCTAGGTGGAAAGGTGATTGTTTCTCGTCTTAAGGCTTTGTTCCGCACTCTGAATCACTAAACGGACAATAAAAATACATTGCAGGGTGACGAAGGTTTTCCCGGCCGCCCCGGTCTTCCCGGACCACCTGGTCAGCCAGGACCGGCTGGGCCCGCTGGGCCGGATGGTCTTCCCGGACTCAAAGGAGAACTCGGAGAGCCCGGATTCCCTGGTAACTCCCATAACGCTGATCATGTACTTCATCTAGTGTTTCTTTAACTGTGTTTGTCCTGACAGCCTTACAAGATGATTGCCAATGGGCCCAGAATATTGAACGGAAAGTTCGGAGATGCTTTAACGTTCCTAGAATAACTTCAGGTGGATCCTATTTGAATCCGTGGGTAGGTACGTGGGTCCAGACTGCAGAGGAAGGCTATGGTCCCCAGGGGGATTGGTTACTTTTTTATACTTTGGTGTAAACAATTTCATTGGAAAGATTAAAGAAATCTGTATACGAAAACACTGGCTTCATCGCGAGAAACAGGCAGGGACGTCTAGCTACACTGTAGTTACACGGGAAGATGATGTATACACTGCGCTTGAATCGAAATGGTGACGATGAACTCAGAATTCAACTGAGTGTGCTAACGCATAGAGGCGCGCGCGGAACAAAGGCAGCCACTACTACCTATTTAATACAAACTGGCGTAGTAGCGTTAGTTTTTGTTTACTACACTGCTGAACAATGCACATTACAGACCCCAGGGTCTTTGTGTGTAGTGCACGAATGGAGCTATTTCCCTTACTGAAGCAAGATGTCTCGAATTTTTAAGGTCAGGCAAACTTCTCACTTCCTAATATCCGTACGACTATTCTTCATTTTCTCGGCTATATGTTATAAACGACAACTTATAACATTAGGTCTTAACGGATTTAATGAATTTTTTATGGAGGTTATATTTTGTTGTGAAATACGAGCGAGTCTTCAGATAATATTGTCAATGTAACCAAGATATAGCACAGTCCAGGTTGTTTTTATTTAAGAACCACCCCTCAAAAATCAAGTAACTTGTTAAATGAGGTTTATTTTCTTTCAACGTTTTTTCATCAGTTACCCTTGGACCAGTTTTCTTATTGCTTAAGGTCATGTCTGTAAGATTCCCAAATTTCTTTCCTAATTTGTATTTTGTTTTTTTGCATTAGGATTATTATGCATGTTTTAAATATAAAAACCACTATGAAATACAGTATTATAATTCCAAGCCCCCTCTTCTTGGTACCAAACACATGTCATATCGTTCATTTTTCCTTCCCACAACGAAGTAGGTTTATACATACATGACAGTATCTGTTTAAGGTTTCTTAAAGTTCATTTATGCCACGCAATATTTGTGCGTTTCTAACAAAATGTAATTAAGTTATGGTAGCACAACCTTTAAAGTTTGAGTATTAGAAAGATTATATATTTAATATATCTCGAACAATTATGAAATTTTTAATCGCTATTGTTTTCACAAAAAAAATCGTGCATATTTAACCTATAACCTTAAATACCATAAGTATTTAGTTATCCTTCATACAGATATGTTTCATTAATTGTACACTTGATTTTAGAATAGGACATGTAGTTCAACATTCAGGTGGATTCTTCATGCAGAATAAAAATCTCACCTAGTGCATCAGACGCACGACACGTTTCTGCCGATTTCAGGTTCATGGTGTAGTGTAGCGTACACTGTTATCGCACAGAGCGCAGTGAACATAATTCCGCGAAGAGTGCCTGCACTACACAACAATGTCAGCGCGAGCACGACATCGGCTCTTTTCTGTGTTGTATTTAAACAAAAATTGATACGCTAAAATTTTACGGCCTAGGTTCCTACCCTAAGTGCAGACTTTTCGCCACATTAGTAATTTCTATGACAGTCGTTCAGGTGTAAGATAAAACAGTAAAAACTGGCAATCGCTTGTTCGCGCTAACAATGTCTCGGCATTTTTTATCTTAAATAAAAAGCGCGAAGGACAAGGACAGAACAAAGATACGAACAGGACAAGCGCTTGTATTTAAGATGTTTACCCAACTGGCCCAACAGTTAATTTTAATTGTCTTGGCACTTTTGTACATTTAACAGATTTTTTTTATGTCTTTAACGTAAAGATGAAAGGCCACCAATTCTTAGTTTCTTTTTTTAACGAGCTACAACGCGCACTGCTTCCAGGCCTCCCAACGTCGGAGGTGAGCAAGGGCGACAGGGGAGAACCAGGAAGGCCAGGGATTCCGGGGCCGGCGGGTCTCCCCGGAGACGACGGATTCCCAGGCCTCCCTGGACTCAAGGGGGCACTCGGAGAGCCGGGCGTGGATGGCTTTCCTGGCGCGCCGGGAAGACCCGGTCCTAAAGGTACCCTTCGCGCAACTTCGCCCTTTGGGCTACCGCTTTGCGGGTCAGAGGATATAAAGTGCAAGAAAAATAACAAATATAGTATGGACTATATAAAACCACAACCTTCGCCATAGTTTTTTTTTTAATTTTTAGAGCGCAGCTTTTAGGCGTTCGTTTAGGGCTTGAGCGGCGTCACCGTCGCAGTCGGCGTAACCGCTTGGTGCATGATGGGTAAATTTCTCCGCTAAACTTAGCGGAAAAATTTCCCCACTAAATTTAGCGGGAAATTTCCGCCGCTCAACCTAGCGGGAACTTTTCCCCGCTAGATTGAGCCGAAAACTTTCCGCGCTAAATTTAGCGGAAATTTTCCCCGCTAAATTTAGCGGGAAATTTTCCCCGTTAAATCTAGCGAAAAATTTTCCCGCTAAATTTAGCGAAACACTTTTCCCCTAAACGGGAGGCGAGCTCGAGAGGAGGAGGGGCACACCCTCCTCCCCGTACCTTCCCCTCCTCCTCCTCAAGAGCTGCGCTCTAATTCGGCGTTACAGGGAGCTGTAAACGGCTTTTATTTTTTTTTTAATAGTGTTTTCGGGGAAGGCTTTTCAGAAGCAGGCACAAAAACTCCCACTTCTTATTAGTAAATTTTGTCGCCCTGGTTCAGCCGTCTTGCGGCTCATACTGGGTACCTTCGTCAAAAACAAGCAAAAGTCACGGCATCGACGAAAATCTAGGGAAAGAGGGACAGGCAAACTCGTAGCTCTTCAAGTCTTGCTTCTAAATATAATTTGCTGTAAATATTGATTGAATAATGAAAGAAAGCCAAGTATAGTTTGAAAGCGTCTTGTGAAATTTCAGCCTAGGGAATCCTACGACATGGTCGGATAGAAGGAAGAAGTGCGGCGATCGCTTGCTTCTCTCAGCGGCCGAGAGTGTTCCCATGGCTCATGTCTCAGCATCAGTATCATCATGATAAGACCTCAAAGCTGACAGCAGCACCACAACTGCACTCCACGTTGCATTGGCAATTTCTTACTGCCGTCCCTCTACCCTTTACCGCACAATATCCCCCACTTAGGCGGTTGGCGAAGGGAAAGTCTGAAATGTCTCAAGCCCTAGAAGTGCAAGATGGCGCTGCTGCTTGTAAAAACATTGTTTAAGGGTGAAGACGTGGTGAGCATGCGTCCATAAACTTTTCAAGGCATTTTTTATGCGTGCAAGCATACATAACGAAACAAGGTGAACCCTTGTATTCGTTCCTTGAAAGATGTAACTGACTAGGTAGTATTCCATAGCTGCCCTCGCTGTGTCAGGAGCTGCTTCGTGCGCAAGGCGCATTTCACTCCACCAAGGTCTTGATCTTGGATCTCGCGACGAACACGCGCTGTAAACAACCATTACATTTCCCAAAGAGAGAATATAATACCTGTACCCTGCTCATTCGTCCCTCTAAAATGCAATAAAAGCTACTTGCTTGCTGCACTTCAAGAAAGAAAGAAGAAAACGACGTCGTTTTCTATAACTGAAAATGGAATGCATTATACAGGCGACTTTATTATTTCTATCCCGTAACATCCACCTTACATGTGGTAGGTGAATTGAAAATATTGCATTGGTCGTAGCACGAAAATTCACTGTGGCTTTGGGATTGCAGATGTTAAACTTAGCGGGCGATATTCGATTCTGGGAAGGTTACAAAACACTACTTGAATTTGTTTTTTCAGGATATCCCGGAGGCCCCGGGCTTCCTGGATTAGAAGGTGCACCTGCCTTTGGTAAGAGTCAATCCCCTGACACTCTCCTCTCAATGCCCTGAGGACCACATGAAGACATCATCATCGTTTCCAGATATATACCCTGGTCAGAAGGGAGAGGAAGGTGACCCCGGATATCAGGGCCTGCCCGGAATTCCCGGCCCAAAAGGAGAGGCGGGAGATCCTGGTCAACCGGGTTACAATGGACCCAAAGGCTACCCCGGTTTCACCACAATGGGCCCCAAGGGAGCACAAGGAGACGACGGTTTCCCGGGATCTCAAGGTGACAATTAGTGGTCTTGGAAGTAAACTACTAGGATGTACCCTCATAGATTGCGCAAAGGTAGGGTTTCTGGATATGTGAGGGGGAGCGAAAAAATAGACGTTCCAAATCACGAAAACAAGCTATATGATTCATGATAATTCGTATTCGATTCTCAGTTGATCAATTCAATGCATGGAGTATTCATATAAAGTCATAAATTAAGGGGAGCATAATAAACTAGCATTTTAAAATGATTCGTTATTTGATTATCGCAACAATCGCATTCCTCTTCAAGGTGACAGGTCTTCAAAAATTATAATTCTTCCCGGTCATACATGTCGACGTACACATAAAGCAGGTTCAAAATTGCCCATGAAGCAAATTTTAGAAATGTTCTCTGAGAAACGCGGTCAGCAAGTTCTGGTTTACACCTTATGATGGAAGCGCTCCTATTCTTTATCCTGTATTCACCATGACCCTGCAGCGCCATCAGGCATTATCGGAGAGGGTGAATATACTTGAAGAAAAAAAAAATCTGAATGTGCGGATCACACAATCTCGCTGGGCAATGGAATCCACTCCTTAATAGTTTTAACAAAAAAAAAGGTTTTGCACAATTCAGTTTTAGTGCGGTGTTCTCTTATCTTATTAATGTGGTCTTTTCTTTGGGAGATATAATTTGGAGTTAATAAGTAAGAATAGCTAATAATGCTAGTTATATTGTGATTTATATTGTATGAAAACTTAAAGCGCCAATTTCTTCCTCCTAGTGTCAACGTAAATCATCGCAATCCTTTCATCATATCGGTTACAGTCGCAAAACGGTCATACCGCACCGGAACGAAACGAGCAACACAACTCTGAATTTTTTCTAGTGCAACAATGTGGTTTTGCTGAGAAGGATCCCAGACAATGCAGGCGTACTCTAAAACTGGTCATACATATGAGAGATAGGCGAGCTCTTTGATAGCTTTAGTTGATTTCTTTAAATTTTGATTTAAAAATACAAGAGTGTTTCCGGCCATCATAACAACATCGTCAATATGGGCATTCCAAGTGGAGTCCGTGAGACGCCTAAACATTTAATTGTTTTCTCTAATGGCATGGCTACTTTATTTAGTTAATAACATGTTTCAACTTTTGTTTTAGTTTTACGGGTGAAACTAATATGGACACATTTTTTTACATTTAGTTCCATCTTCCACATTTTACACCATTGTTCTATTCGGTTCAAGTCACCCTGCAGCCGTCTGGAAATCACCTGATCCGTTTTGCCTGTGTTAACAACACAATAATCCGAAAACAAACGTACCCGTGAATTTACACCGTCATTAATTTCATTAACAAATATTAGTGAAGACGGTTGTCTCCCACCGCATATGCAATCGCAAAAGCAAGACAACAACACTCGCTCAAAGCAGACGAATAATAAAATTCCGTGTTCTCTCGACAAACGTGAGGTTCCCGAGAAGACGCCGCCGTCGGGTGGCCCTGTGTGACTGCTTCGTATTTTACGACGCCGGCGTCGACGTAGACTCAACGCGAAACCAGCGTAGCAAAGAAAACAACAATTATGCTGCTTTATTTACGATTTAGTAATCATTTCCGGTCCGATTTATACTTTTCATGGTTATTCAAGCGGAAATTAGAACAGTAGCTCTAAAAATCGCGAACGAAAACGTGACCGAGGGCAGGTCTCTCGTTTAACCAATCGCTGACGCCTCTCTTGTGACGTCGCGCTTCTTGGCCCCGCATCGGTCACGTGAGCTCCGCTTCTCCTGGCTTCTCTCACAACTCTCGGAGGGTCGCCCCAGTCGATCCCGGTACGATTATTACCGCGACTGTTTCATTGATTTGCGCGGCACTCAAGCGCCGGTTTTGGCTGAAATATTGGCAACGTGGCCTGAGACGTGCCTGAAACCCAGTTCAATCGCCAAAAAGACGTCCGAAATTGCCTTCATTGTCCCTTTAAACTTCAAATGGATTTGAACGAGCTCTAGCGTCAATTTATAATGGGTGATTCGTACTCTATCCTAGGTCTCGATGGAAGGGATGGCTCTCCTGGAGAGTCCGGCTTTCCAGGCCTGCCAGGACTGAAAGGAGCCCGGGGTAACCCTGGCTACCCTGGTCCCTCCGTTCCTGGACTTCCGGGAATTGATGGTTTGAGGGTACGCAGATAATTGTTTTTAATGCAACGCAAACTTCGCTTTTGGAACTTCGATGATATTCAGGTCAAAAAGGCTCATTTTAGCCTTCTACAACTGTCAGAACGTGAATGGTGCCACTGTACAGTGTGCGAGGAAGCTAGCCCATAGGCTTTGTCAGCCATATCCCCTCCAGTCCCAGTTACCTAATCAGCTGGACACCGGAATCTCAATATTTTTAGATTTTTTTTTTTTTGCGGTTGAGTTAGTATTTTATTTGTAGATTGGACTGTTATTGAACAAGACAATATTAAGCTTTATGAAGGGAAGTAAAAAAAAAACCTCGCCAATACAGATATTTGACTTTTTTTCCTGTCCGTTATTCTTTCTATGTGCTTACCCAAACACTGTTTTTTTTTTTTTTTTACAAGTGCAGCGTGACAACCAGATGTTAGACGTTTTCCTGCATGATAATAACGTGGTCGCATTGTTTTATGATGTGAACAATAACTGAACTGCTAGGGACTCGTGTTCAAATAGATAGAAACTATCTCTCTAAGCCCACTTCAAAGCACTCTATTAATTAAATACTAGAACGCATCATGCTAGCTCATCAACTTTTGTTAAGAGACAGACTGAATACATACTAAGTAATATATCTCCTGAGTCGACTCCTGGTTGTTTATCTGTGAACTTTCACGTCTTTTCATTTTATCGTCTTACACAAACCTGTTCTTTTTTTTTTTTCATGGGCAGACGTAACGCCATAAAAATAAGAGCATAATTTTATTTCTGCTATTTATTTTAGGGCAACAACGGACAATATGGTCCAAAGGGTGAAAGAGGCTATCCCGGAGAAATCGGACTGCCAGGATTTCCTGGAGTCAAGGGAGAACGTGGGGACGACGGCCTTCCTGGAATTCCAGGCAAACAAGGCGCTGCCGGTTTCCCCGGTGGGTACATATACGGCCATTATGAATTGCAGAATAAGAGCAAATAGATATTACACCCTTAGGTTACTACAAAGTGCAATATACTTGTAGAGTATTACAAATACTCTACGACTTACACGAGATGCCAATGCACACAAATCAACAACTGTACTAATGAAACGACACTGATGCTTATGCTACTTCTCAACAAGGCGATTTTTACACAGACCAAACGAAAATCAAAATCACTGAAATGTCCGAACGCTAGCCAATATTTTGCAAGGAAAGGGTATTTCAGAAATTAGGATTCTTTGAGCGAAAACATTGGCTACCCCTCCAAGGATTCACTGGGGTATTTCTCTTAGGACTGCTTTCAAGTCTTTCCTTGATTGTCTAAACATCCTCTAGGCAGCTTTCTGAATGTGTAGAAAGCATAAATACAAGTTTATTTCCTCTGGTCAAATCATCCAGGTACATTCCCAGAAAATACTGCATCAGGATGATAACTATGAACATAATATTTTCAGCACTCATGTATGCCTTTGTGCTCACGACTGTGCAGTTTAGAATTTTAAAAAAAAAACGCTACTATGTGCCAGCCATTGCTGTTTGCAAAGGAGACATAACATTTCTTTCACGTGTATGACGTGTCCATCTTCGCACCATTTTTCTTGTGACCAAAAGGTGTCAAGGGAGAGCGCGGAGACCGTGCTCCAATGGTGGCGGAACTCCGGTTGAAAGGCGAGCAAGGAGATCCTGGAGAAAATGGACTCGACGGCCCACGGGGGCGGCCCGGAGAAGTGGGCCTGCCCGGTAGGGACGGTTTTCCCGGAGAATCGGGAGACATCGGTCCCCCCGGGTTCCCGGGCCCCCCGGGATACTTCGGTCCGAAGGGACTTCCAGGGGACGACGGAGACAATGGTACGTTCGAAGTATGAATAATATCGTAATTACGCCGCCTTTTTTACTAATATTTCACTAGAATTCCATCGTTATTATAAATAATATTCTATCGCAATATTATGATCACCTCATATTTTATTTTATTGAATTTTTTATCATTATCTTGTAGTAGGCCGAGTTTGGTGAGGCAGCAAGGCGGTGGCATCATTCGAGTATTTCACGCAGCGCATCACATTTATTGTAGTGAGACCGCAGCACTGTCATGCCACCGCGAAGAAAAACATACTCCACAATGATTTCGCGACATTCCTTATCACAGGAGCGAACACTAAACGAACACAGCGAAGGCATCGGCGTTGAGGAAGCTTGCGCTGGTCTCGACGGGACGCGATTTTCCAAGCAAAGGCACAGAGCACAGTGAACACGACTGTACCACACAAAAACTGCTACAAAAAAAAAATGCTCGCATCACAACGATTTCGCAACGCAACTTGTCTCAATGGCGAACTCTAAACGAATGAAAAAAAGGATCGGCAGCGCTTTCGTCGGTCTCGTCCAACGAGGCTTGCGCACTTGGCACGTCGACGGCGACTAAGTTGGACATCGAGACGATCGCTAAATTCTTACACAAAAAAACTACCGCGCACAGAGGCGGATACCGCCACAGCTCTGCAACGTAAACCCGGGTCACTTCGAGAGGTCTGTGTCTCTCGGCGAGAAGGACGTTGAAAGCAGCGCGCGACATTTAGAAAAATATAGTTCATCATTCCCTGATGTTAGTTACGTCAATTAGTGGAAGCGATTGGCTGTCGGAGTGAATCCAAGGTGGCCAACTCGGCTTTGGCTTTCTTCACCAAACCTTCGGTATCACGTTCTGGCCTAGGTAATCAGTACTAGTGAGCGTACTTCCCATGTAGTGGCGCTGCCGTCGGAGCCCGATGCCGCCACGACATTCCATTGAAGCTTCATAATCAACAACCAGGCGGTTTTTGGTTATGTTTGATTCAGTTTAAAATATCTTTTCTCGCCTTTTTAACAAAACTTTGATGTTTCTAAGGTTCTACGGCTACCTACGTCATGTTTAAGCAAAGAAATGAGCTCTAGAATTGCGTTTTCGTGCCCCATTAACATGCCTATTTACCTTATCACCAATTTATTTCACAATACCTACACACACACAAACTTTTTTCCTCAGTATGTCGTACATACCGTCGCACATATTGATATTAAACATGCATAAAATCATAATCATAGATCAAAAAAGTTAATTTCTAGATTCTCAATTATTGTTGCTGCCTCATATGATCCTGGTAATGTTTTCAACAAGACAGCGCACGTCCCTTCATCAACCTACATTTAGATTTATAGAAAAATAATTGTACTGCCTATCTTCTATGCTGATAATCAGTCGAATTTACGCCATGAATGGGTATCAGATCCTCGTATTCAAGATCACCAAAAACAAAGAAACAAACAAAATGATTTTAAATGAATATTAGAGCACACGCGAAAGATAATAAGTGGTAGTCAAGGGGCTATGATAGGAAGAATAGGGACCGCGCAGCGAGATCATGCATACTTGGCATGACTGAACCTGAGACGGGGAAAGAATGTGAAGACATTTGAAAAGAGGAACACCACGCGCAGTATCTTTCGTCTTTGGAAACTGTGCTTGTCCCTCTTTTTACGTGTCTTTTCCTCCCCTGTCTTGGGTTCAGTTATGTCAAGCTATGATTAGCCACTTTAACGTTTTAACTTCAATTATCAAAGAACACTCAGTTTTTTTTTATTTGTGCTTGCATTCAGTTATAAAAACACCCCTCTTGGAGCGTCACGTATGCGCCACGGAAGTGCTTCGCTTGAAAAGGTTTTTGGCTACGCAGGTCTCCCGGGATACCCTGGAACAGTCGGAACACCAGGTCGCCCTGGCAACAGAGGACCGCCAGGAGGTCCGGCCAAATCTCGGGGGTACTTCTTCACGAGGCACAGCCAGACATCGCGGGTTCCGCAGTGCCCGAGGGGAACGTACAACCTCTGGGAAGGCTACTCTCTCCTGTACATCCTAGGAGATGAGAAAGCGCACGGACAAGACTTGGGTACGTTTCAATTCTCCGTACTTTTAAAATAAGATTCAATCACGTAAATGTTGCGTTCGTGCCTGCAGTCTCAGAATCTGGCAAGACTGTATATTTTGTGTTGATGGAGTATTTTTAATGCAAATAACATTTTTTTGTTGGAAGTAGGTTTCTTTGTTGTTATTTTTTTCGCACATATGCATTGTGGAACCGCAACTCTCAATGTAGAATACGTTCTTTTCTTCCTCCCCCGCCAAATGGTTTTAGGACCCTTTCAACCGGGCGCGTTTCCCTATGCTTTCTAGCTTTACGTTATTACTCACAGGGACACCCGTTCTTCAAATGTAGAGTGCAAAGTTTTTCCTCCAAACTGTTTTTTATGCTTCGTATGAAGTGCAGATGTCCCGGTGACTCCCGTCTTAAGCAGACGTAAGCTCCCCTAACTTTACGTGAAGTAAGAAAACGGGGCTGTGTGAACCGGCCTTCACACTTTCACCACTCACGTGACATTTGCTAAGTATGGTGGCTGATATTTTGCCTTCCAAATTTAACGGATATGTTTGACTCTACGTTCAAACGTATTGTGCATACCCTACGCATAAAAGCTTTGTGCGGCTTTATCAAAAGAGGCTGCAATCTTAGTGTCAAAATTGCACTATGCAGAACTGTAGATTTGATAACAAGCAAACAGTTCACACAGATCTAAGACAGCTTGCGGTTCCTAAGCGTCAAACTGTTTAAAACAGTGACACCGTGTACAAAGAATGAAATAGGTTGCACATACAAGCTAGGGCGCGCGCGGGATAGACATGTTTGTGATTTTCATGACTGTAAAGCTTGCCTGTGATTACATTGAAGCATTTCTGTAGGCAGTCCTCTTGTCGTAGGCTATCTGGGATACAGGAATAATAAAAAAACTACGGTTTTTGAAAATATGTTTGAGTATCTCAAGAAAGCGTTTACACAAACACAGTTCCTAGTTATGGGTTTCCTGATCTTAATATTTGTTTACGTTCTGAGTTACAACCTGGAGTACTAAAAAGTTGTTATTGAAGTGTACAGCATTATATTTTGAATGTTCTCCACGGGGTACTGATTTAAACACAATCACGAGATCAATATTCACATAAAAACACTGTAATTTAATTCAAACATAAACAGAACTTTCCAATAATGTTATAATATGCCTGATCTTTCCCGAGACCAGTAAATGTACAGTCATGTCCCTGTATTTTTACTGATTTCAGGAAGCGCCGGTAGCTGTCTTCGGCGCTTCAGTACCATGCCGTTCCTGTTCTGCAGTTTGAACAATGTGTGCAATTTTGCTTCGAGAAACGACTACAGCTACTGGCTGAGCACACCTGAACCGATGCCGATGGCAATGACGCCAATCGTGGGAAGAGATATCCAGAAATTCATCAGCCGATGCAGTGTCTGCGAGTCCCCCACTCAGGTTTGAAAAACTTCAAGAAACTCGGCCATTCCTACACTTTACTTTAAGATGCTCGCTATATTTGCTTAACACAGTGTCAAACTTGAAATTGTCGGGTCTTTTTCTCTTGTCCTTACTGGGATGTTTTTGCAGGTCATAGCCATACACAGCCAAACTCTGGAAGTGCCAGAGTGTCCTCAAGGCTGGGATGGCATTTGGACTGGATACAGTTTCTTTATGGTACGTAACATTTGTCACCGACATGTTCTTATTCGTAGAATTTGTAAATCTGTATATACTGTTTATAAGGAACTATTTTGGTGTGTCAAAAGGTGAGGATTAAAATTGTGTTTATTTATTTATTTATTTCAGATACCCTCAGGGCCAAAGGCATTAGAGAGGGGAGTGGGTACAATGTATAAGTATAAAGTTAAAAAATGCAGTGGTTATTAGTACAGTAAATTGACTCTTATTTATACAATGTTAGCTATGGCGTTCTTGAACTGCTGGGGATCTTTGATTGTTGCTGTCGGGGCGGGAAGGCCATTCCACTCCACTGATGTGCGAGGAAAGAATGACTGAAAAAATGCATTAGTTCTACACGATGGAATCCCGACTTTATGAACATGATCTAATCTAGATGAGATGTATTGGGGGGGTAAAATATGTTCGGCGCGCAAGGAGGGATGAAGAAACAGTTTGTGAAAGAGACAAAGACGAGAGATTTTGCGGCGGGATGTTAGGGATGGCAGATCAAGGTTAGATTTCATTGTACTGATGCTTGCAGTTCTATTATAGTTAGACAATATGAAACGAACAGAATTATTTTGAACCATTTCAAGTGAGTGTATCAAGTTTTCGTGGCTTGGATCCCAAACCGAAACGGAATATTCGAGTTTAGAGCGAATGAGGACCTTGTAGAGTAGTAGTTTTAGGGATGAAGGTGCTTTAGCAAAGTTACGTCGAAGATAACCCAGCATGCGGTTAGCGTTATTAATGACGTACGAGGTGTGAACGCTCCAAGTTAGGTTAGATGAAATGTGGACACCAAGGTATTTATAAGAAGATACGGCGTCCAAAGGCACATTATTAAGAGAGTAGACGGGCGAGTTAATATTTTTTCTAGAGACACGCATAAGTTTACATTTGTTAATGTTTAGTTCCATGCACCATGTTTTGCACCATACAGAGATGGCGTTAAGGTCAGATTGAAGAGTGGTTATATCGTTATCACATAAAATTTCCCAGAAAATTACACAGTCATCTGCAAACAAATGAATATGGGAAGAAACACAAGAAGAGAGGTCATTAATGTAGATAAGAAAAAAGAGAGGGCCAAGCACAGAGCCTTGGGGCACGCCGGAGTGGACGCCACTTGGGGGAGATGTGAGGCTGTTAGCTGAAACGAACTGAGAACGGTTAATGAGGAAGTATTCGAGCCATATAAGAAGTTTGGGATAGAGATTAAGCTGACTTAATTTAAGAAGTAAAAGCTTATGACACACCTTATCAAATGCTTTCGAAAAGTCTAAAAATATGCAGTCGGCGAGTGATGATCGGTCAAGAATGGCGTTTAGTTTATGAGTGAAAGATACCAATTGAGTTTCGCACGAATAAGTTTTACGGAAGCCGTGTTGTGAAGGTGTGAAAAATGAGTTCGATTCAAGAAAGTTAGCGAGGTTAGAAAACAGAATGTGCTCAAAAATTTTACACGGGATGCTTGTGAGCGAAATGGGTCGATAATTAAGGGGAGAATTCTTGTTACCTGATTTGTGGAGTGGAACAACCTTTCCCACCTTCCACTCAGCAGGGAGATAACCATCGTCAAGGGACTGTTGGAAAACTTTTGATAAAATGATAGAAGAATAAACGCTGGTACTTTTTAAAAATTTTGGGTCAATTAAATCGCAACCAGGGGCAGAAGATTGTTTGAGTGATCTAATTACGCTTTCAACACCACTGGGATCAATAATAACAGGAAACATTGCAAGGTAATCACATGAGTTTACATTAGGCAATGGGACGACTGTAGTTACGGAAAAATTGCGTGAAAATATATCATTAAGAACGATGGCACATTGATTAGAGGGAATGACATTACCATCACTGTTGACGAGAGTGATATCGTTATTATCTTTTGGGTTAATAACACGCCAAAACTTTTTTGTGTCAGTTGTTAAAGTATTTTGAAGATACTCTGCTTTAGCTTCTCTTATCGCTGTTACGTATTCCTCGGAAGCAAGCTTATATGCGGCCCAGCGCGCATCGTTTGAAGAAAGTTTAGCTGACCTGAACAGTCGTTTTTTTTTTTGTTAGATAGACGTTTAATGCGAACGTTAAACCACGGTGCGTTACTGTTAGAGATAATAGTGCGAGTAGGGATGTACTTATTCGTTAGAGCATTAACCTTGGTTACAAACATATCCCAGTTATTTTGTACGCTACGTTTATCAAAATCCTTCAAAAAAATATCAAGAAACACGGATAATTCAGAATTAATGGCTTCAAAGTTCGCATTCCTGTAGTTTCGAATAGTTTTCATTTTTTTAATGGTTGCATGGCTTCTTTTTTTTTTTGCCACAAACGCTTGTCTCTTTAGAAGACAAATCATCAACTTGACGTTTAGTTTATGACGGCCAGTCTATTTGAATAAAAGTTAAGGCCCCTCGGCACAGTACCGTTTGCTTACGTCCGTTACGTTACGGGATCTTACGTCTACTTGCGTCGAGAGTCACCGGAAAACTAGGGGTTCGTACAAAGCGTGGCAACCTATTTAAGGAGTAGCTTTGCACGTGACGTACCAAGGGTATGACCCAATGACTCCTAATTTAACCGTAAAACGTAAAATAACGCTGCTGTGTGAATGGGACTTCAGGGTAAACTTTGAACCCTAGCTAGATTTTAGTACAAAGTCACTTCAATGGAAGATCGCTTCATGGGTCTTTAATAATTTCTTCAATCGCTTAATCCTGAATTATTTGTGTTTCTCACCCTAGAACACCGATTCCGGAGCAGAAGGCAGCGGCCAGCCCCTGGTGTCTCCGGGCTCATGCCTCGAGGACTTCAGGCCGAATCCTTTCATTGAGTGTCACGGTCACGGACGGTGCAACTACTACACGACCGCGTACAGCTACTGGCTGGCCACTATCGAGCGGAACGACATGTTCCGCCCTCCGGACCCGCAAACGCTCAAGGCGGGCGACCTCCGCACCCGCGTCTCTCGCTGCCAGGTCTGCAGGAGGCGGGTCTACGTTCCCTAGACCATACAACCGAAATTCGACGTACTTGGTGGGCGCGCGTTAAGGACGCATTGGTCGGTGTTTGCAGTGACCTAGCCATGCTATGCATCAAAAATCTGCCACAATAATTGTGCCTTCCACAAACGCAAGCTCTTCTCTTTTTTTTCTGATTGCTGCTATTGTTGTTATCATTGTTGTTTCTTTTAGAAAGATTAGTCTCTTTTGTTATCCTTGTTTAAGTTGCAATCAGGACGTGTTTTTTTTATATGTCAGCGTTTTTTTTTATAATGTCCAAACTTCGGAAAAAAAAAAGAATAAAAGCTTCATATACATGAAGCTCACAAAATTTTATAAGTGGGTGGTTCCTGTGTTTTATGGGACGTGCATTGTAGTGTTTGTCAAGCTGCAATAAATTTCAGTCGACGCTAGTCACCTTTTACATTATATCTAACGCCCCCTGCTGCCTTATAAATATCAACAAGATATAGATATACGACATGTACAATTGCTTTTTTTTACTTTGGGTTACAACATCCACGGGGTCAGTCCTCGTTCGCACTGCCTTGGACATTAGGGGAGCAGAAAGCGCACGTTTCGTTTTTCTCGGCTATATTAACTTAAAAAATTGAGGTACGTACATTATTTTCATAAAATTGCTTAATGTGGTAGGAAACAGATATGGTCGAATAACCTAATAGGTGATTGTTATTGGCTAAATTAAATGTATTCTTAGCTATCGAAAGAAAGTTTTTGTCAAGGGCTGTTATCACTTGTGGTTTCATCATCCATATTGCCAATGGTGCAGACACTGCCAAATCATAAAGCTGTTTTCCTTTCAAGCATTACTCACACCCCTCTTGGTAATCTGATTTGTTTTGTTGTTCCTCGTGTTGTATTCTGCATATTTGTTAATAAAATATTCAGAACTGCCAACGCTGCTTGTAAAGTAGAAGTTCTAGGGTGCATCCCTTCGCGTCTTGTTTGTAATTGAAAAAAATTAATTTCCCACGAGACATATTTTTACTTCAATTAATTGTTTGTACACTCAATTTTTGTGTACATAAATAAACGTTTTTTATCTATTCTTTTTTTCTTATATTAAAATAAGCTATATGAAATACGCTATCACTCTAAAAAGTCTGTGCGTCTACTTTCACGCACAATACTCGGAGAACCAATCACCGCAACTTACGGAGGCAGCTCTGCGAATGACGATGCCAAAACTCATGTTTAGACCAAAAAACGCAGTCTGAGTTGTGACATTAAGCAATGCAAAACGTCACGCTTGCATTGATTAATGCCAAAACTGCCACTGCGTTTTTTGGTCTAAACATATGTTTCCGCATTGTCATTCGCTGAGCTGCCTCCGTAAGTTGCGGTGATTGGCTCTCCGAGTGCTGTGCGGGAAAGCAGACGCACGGGCTTTTTTTAGAGTGTATTGGCGAATTAGTCAATGCCGTAGGACATTCCGGGCTTTTCTTGAGAGCGACTCCTGGGCCTGTTTGCTCGAAGAGCTAACCGCGGCTAAAGTTAGCCGCAGTACCTAGGAGAGGGATTTTGAGATCACGTGACTGGGCTCTGTAGGGATGCAGGGAAACATGGCGGTGCCCCAGTGAGTGAGCGCCGCTCGCTTTGGAACTAATATGTCGTTGTAGCTGCAATATCAGACGCGTTAGTCAGCAACGAATAATGCAGGAGGCTTTCGCTTTGCCTTACCTCACTTCAACCGCAAAGCATGGGCAATGACATCTCCGAATTCTTTAGATAGTGTTTCGATTCTGGGCATTCCCAAGCCTAAATGAACGCGATAATTGTCGGCATGGCAACGTCTTTGGAAAGCGGATTGTTGATAGCACACGAAAGCAGACAGCGTACCGACAGACTTTATTCTAAATTATCAAAGCATCGCGAGGAGAACGCTGGAAGTGTAATTCTACGGTTCACGCGCGCTGGCCTTCCTCTTATAAAAGATTTGAAGTAAAAAATCGTAATAAGGTTTTAACGAAGCGCGCGCAAGGCAAAATTTGTTTTATACTTTTTGCTTTATAACGGTTGCTACTGCAGACGCCAGCACGTGCGACGCGTGCAACTACAGTCGTAGCATGCACCTCGGTGCTTGGATAATTTAGAAACAAGGTCTGTTTGGACGCCGTCTGCTTTTGTGTGCTATCAACAATCCGCTTTCCATAGATCCGTTGCTCTCGGGCAGGAGGCGCGAGCGTGTCCGCAGGACGCGACCATGTTATGCTGGCAGCACCATTTAGGCGGCGCTGTAACGTTCGATTTTGCACGTGGCCACGTTCGAATGCAAGATCTGTCAGCATCTGTAGACGCGCGATAACAAAACGTCTAAAAAAAAAAAAACAAAAAAAAAAACATTATGCAGCTTGTGGCCTCAGCGTCCCATTAAATATTCCTTCAAGCTTATTGCTCTCTTTCATAGCTTCCGTGAGCCTGTATGTTTCACTTTACTGGATAGCGAAGCCGAAGCTATACTTGCTAAAGCATGTCCCCTGAATGATGCTCGCACTGCACGAGCTCGCGTGCTTGGCAGGGCCACTAAGAGCTCGGAGCTCGCTCTTGTAGCCTCTGCTACGCTGGCACTTAGAATGGAACGGAGTATAAAAAACTGTAGTGGGGAAGGGTATTGACGCACGTTCGAAACGCGAGCCAAATATTCTATTTTGCTCGCCTGGAGCGCTGCTCAAAACTTGAGAGCTACGGGCCTATAGACGTTTCTATGCCGACAAGTATCGCGTTCATTTAGGCTTAGGAGTGCCCAGAATCGAAACACTATCTAAAAAATGCGGCGATGTCATTGCCCATGCTTTGCGGTTTAAGTGAGGTAAGGCAAAGCGAAAGCCTCCTGCACCATTCGTTGCTGAATAACGCGCCCGATATTGCAACCACAACGACATATTAGTTCCAAAGCGAGCGGCGCTCACTCACTGGGGCACCACCATGTCTCCCCGCATCCCTACCGAGCCAGTCACATGATATCAAAATCCCTCTTCTAGGTACTGCGGCTAACTTTAGCCGCGGTTAGTGCTTCGAGCAAACGGGCTTTGGCCCCGAGTCGGCAGCCGGTGTCTGACCGATGCTGTGAAATTTTTCGTATCCAATCTTTGGCTGGTCGTGCGATAAATGGCCCAGGAACTAAAAACCGAGACTGATCTGCCACCACTCACTGCTAAATAGTCAGACATAAGCCAACAGGTTTGACCAATGTTTGCCAGATAGTTGGCGCTGGAATGCGCCGACGTTGGCGCGATTTCGCGCTGGATCGTTGCATGGCCCTTCTACTTAGACGACACGTCTCCGTACAAGAAAATCCGGCAAATGTATGAGGTCCTGCCAACAAAATATTTACTGCACGTCATTGCAACTTTGTAACCTCATTGTGACAATGAGAATTAGTGTTGTAAACTTTGATTAAGAGTGTGTAGGGAGAAGAGCTCACTTCTAGTAGGCAAAGGCTCAAGTCTAAGGTCTTAATAGCTATTTATAGGCGGTCGAAAGCACTGATCTGTGATTTAGATATTTTCACTGACTATAGACCGTTCCATTAGGGTCATAGCAAAGAGGGTAAAAAGAGAAAAAAATGCCTTCCCTTTCTCACCCGCCTGTCGTCTGCTCCGCCGAGTGGGCAGTACCTAGCATCCGGCTGGCGTACAAACTCTGTTTAAAATCGCGTCATTTTGAAAATTTCAAGCGCAGATGCGCAGATTTTGGTATGCCAGTTACCGTGTATTACTATGCTAGATAAAAAGACTAACAGAGTACAATTGCGCTGTTATCTGCGTGCAAATAAAAAAATAGGGAAAACTCTGTCAGACTGGCAGGTCTCTCCGGCGAAAAGTGAATCCGGTGGTTGTACCTTTTTTACTCTACAGAGTTCGTACTGGTGTAGGCCTTTAGCGACCATGAATGGATGTCTCAAAATAATAAAAAAAAAACGTGCTCTCCTGCCGCAATACACGCAGTAGTTGAGCGCAGTGCTGCCGGCTGACTCAACTGCTATTTAAGTAGCGGAAAAAAGATATGTCAGTTGATCATTTACCGAAGTAGAACAACAGAGAGCTCTAGGCTGATTTTGGAGTAGCCATAACTATTCTAAGAACGCGAACCACTTCACAACGGCAGCCACGAGCGAGTGTTCGATGTTCCGTACAGCCCGCCGATACAGCCCAAAGATGAAGAATGGCAACCTCCCGTTTTGTCGTCTGCTAGCGGAGTCATGCGCGTGCCCTCTCTCTCGTTTTACCCCGCCGAACCCGAAGAATTTCCCGCTTGTATGGAGAGGGCGCTGCTGTCGAACAAAATGGTGCCGCGAGAGAGCGCTAAATGGAATGGCACTAGCAGCTTCAGAAACGCGCAGGCCGTGATGAATCCCGGGCTTATTACAATCGCTCCGCAGTCAGTGAAGAGTTTTAGTGTTGTGTATAAGAGAAAACGCAAGCGCTGTGCGTCTGCGTTAGCGTTGCGTGCTCCACGATGCGCTTGCCCATCGTCGCCATGTGCTAATTCAAGACCGCAGTTTGGGCGCTCCGCGCAAGCTCAGTGTGGAACACACAACGCTAAAGAAAACGCACAGTGCTTGCGTTTGCTGGTATACGCCATGCACAACCCGGTCCATATTCACATTGTACGGTAATAGGGACTTTTAGTAGACAGTGCGCTAGAGCTTCGCTTTGCGAGCGGGAGCTCGTGCCGTCAGTTCGAATCATGGACTGAGCAAGCGGCTGCTGGGCACGCTTTCCGCAGCGCACGATCTACTAAAACTCTCTTATATACATTAAAGGGAACATAAAACGATTTTTCCACCTTCACTAAATACTATTTAGAATAATACCCTAGCGTTAATAACCGAATAAACTTGCCTTATTTTTTTCTAACTGCTGGGCCGATTTGAATAAAGTTTATTCTCTCTCTCTCTCTTCTAGGCAATGACAGTCGCCAAAACAGTTCAAAAATATGAGCATCCTTCATCACCTCAACTCAAAACCAGAACAAGCGGCCACGTAGCCGGGTGCCCAAGTTATGCCGCCAACTTTAATCCTAACCTCGCGCTGGGGTCGGCAAAATAGAGAACGCATTATGAGCTCCAGCTATTCTCCCCGCCGCAGTGGTTAGACGCGAGCCACTGAACCGAGTGTCCGCCGAGCATTGATTGTTGCGTGCCGAAGTCCAGCGCTCACACAGCTCTCGTGTCCAATCCATAAGCCGCGCTCGACTCTCATCAGGCGGGTGGTTTCGATCCCACAATTACATCATTAAGCTTAGCGAAGGCAATACTGAAAAAATAGTCCTCTTTTATTTCCGCAATGTCACCGCGACAAAGAAGCTTCTGAATCAGTGGCGGTCTGTGCGAGTACACTTAGGCCAGACTAGGACTAGTACGCCTCTGCAAAGTCATGGCCTCTTTAAGGTCACTGAATCATGGGAAAGCAGCACCATTGCCAGATCTCTTGCCTGCTAGCCGGACACAACTCTGACATGAACAGACGACCAAACTTCGCAAGGTGATTGGCTGACCGGTGTCAGTTGCCACAGAAATTGCTTTTTCGGTACATTTAAATCTTCTAATATTCCAAAGGGTGGGTCTGAACCAATCGGGCTAAGATCACTATGGAACATCATTGAAAGCGTTCCCTGACAATATAACGTGAGCGCGTCTGCAAGACGCGACCATGTTATGCTGGCTGCACCATCCACGCGACCATAAAAAACGTCGCGTTAACGTTCGATTATGCACAAGCCACGTTCGAATACAAAGCATCTTTTAGCATCTGTAGATGAGCGATAACAAAAGGTCTAAAAATAAAAAAAAAAAAATGAAAAAGAAGTATGCAGCTTGCGCTCTCAGCCACTCTGCTGTCATTTATAATGGAATGGAGTATAAACATCTCTAGTGGGGGACGCGTAATGACTTATGTTCAAAACGCGAGTCACAAATATTCTATTTTGCTCGCCTGGAGAGCCGCCAAAAACACGAAAGCTACGGGCCTATTTGTGGCGAGATTTTTCGGTGGCGCTCTCCTATGGCTCCCTCTCGTGACGTCATTACCTTGCGAACACCAAGTTCGA